AAGCAGCTGGGCTGGAGGGGGATGCCCTGGATCAGTGCCCTCAGCGATACGGGAAGTGAACCAGCCCGTGGGCATGAGCCGCAAGTGCCTAGCTGCCTTCCCAACCACAGAGAAGCTTTCAGCATGTGGCACCGTGGAGACATTCAGTGAATCAGACTGAATTTAGTGCCAGATGACAGTGCCAGACTGGCTTCAGTTAACTCCGGCAGAAGCCTTAGAAGCCACTTCCCCCACACCCCGCAGACATAGTTCTCTCTCCACCTGCTGTGCGTGGTGAGCTGTAAGCCCGGAGCCCCAGGGCGGGGACTCAGCCCAGCACATTGGGCTACGTCAGCAGGCCTTCTCTCCCCGGGGGCCAAGTCCACCCTGTGCTGTGCATCTCAGCTCAAGGTGCGTGCCCTGCGCCCTGGCCACTGGGTATGTGAGGAGCAGGTGGAGACACTCCCTGCCACCCGGGCCTTTCAGCCAAGAGCAACTGGCATCTCTGCCTTGTCTGTCCCGAGAACCAATCCATCCCCCTGTCCCCACGCATCCTGGATTCTAGGTGGGGAGAAGGACAATGCCAGTGAGGGTTGTATAGGCGCCAAGGAGGGAGGGAATTCTGTCTAAGGAAGAAGTTTGGGGTTGAATGAGAATTCCCCGCTGGGCAGTGGATGGAGCAGACATTCAGACATACAAAAGGCCAGGAGCAAAAACTTGGCAGCATTAAAAGGCATGGCTGACTTCTGTGCCCCCTTTCCCCTCACCCCCTATCTCCTCTCCCCTCAGCCCTCACTCCTCACCGTGGGACTACATTGCAGGAAACATAGGTCTCAGCAGGGTCTCAGACCTTGCTTATCTTTGTCCATGGGGGGGTGTTTCTTAACCGTTGCTTCAGGATCTTGGCCACCTCCTTGATTTGCCCACCTGTTTCCCTGCCCCATGCATTTATTTCCAGTCATCATCAGAACTCACAAGTGTAGCGTGCGGTAGAACACATCGTGTGCATACGGAGCAGAATGACTAAAAATGTAGACTTTCCAGTTGGGTGGCTTTCCCCCTGGGCAGCTTTGTAGCACTGGGGAAGTTTTCTAATCCACCCTTCCTCAGGTTCCACGTTCAAAAATAAAGGTACTAGTAAACCCAATATCACAGGATTGTGCAAGGATCAAGAGCGATACTGTAAGCGTGGTGATTCGCACACTGCCTGGTGCTTAATAAATCTCAACTGCTGTGATTGCCTCATTAATCCTTTCAGCATGTTGATGCCTACTCTGTGCTGTTGAGTAGTGAGTAAGACCGGGGAGGTTCCAGCCTGCCCGGAGCTGGAACGCATGCTCCAGTCCTTTTATACCGTCACTGTTTACGTTTGTATTTATGCACCGTTTCAGTCAGACCTCACTGCGTGGCGTTTCCTGAGGCAGTGTTCTCTGTGTTTGTTAAATGGCAGGCAATGGGGGTATCTGACGCCTCTGACTCCCGCCTCACAGGAGCAGCACGCCCCCCACTGAGAACACTGGCTGGACGCCGCCCAGGTTTCACCCCAGGATGTGACAGACAGGAAAGGGGGGCAGGGTTTAGGTGCCAAGCCCAGCAGAGGAGCTGGCTGGGGCGCCTTCTTCCTCAGCCCCGGAGAGCCTTCGCTGCCTCACATGCTTTAGGTCTGGTTTTTGGTGTGGGTTTTCCAGCCCAGGTAGAAGATGCCGGAAGGACAAAAGAGAATATTGTGGACAAATAAATGTGACCCTCTTTGGCTTATTTGCCTTAAGAGCCAACAAACCCCATCCAATCCCCTGCTCGCCACACTGGCTCCTTGGTAAAGGATGTAGGAATGTCCTGCGTCTCAAGAGGTCAGGAGAACGGAGGCCTGATGTGAATCCTTGAAACATGATGGAAATGTAACTCTTCTTTTCCTTTCAGCTACAGGTGTGGTCTCAATCCGCTTCTTTTTTTCTTCGCGTTTTGTAAAGTATGCAATGGCATCTCATCCCCCCGGCATTGCATTGTGCATAACTGAGTGCATTGAGCGGATGTGCACCGTGGCCTAGTGTTAGCACTCTGCATGTTACCTTCTGCTTGGGAGTCTTAGCACCAGTTGAAAGGACTTGATTCCCTTAGAACAGGTTCCAGAAGATTTCCAGCCTTAACTTTTCATTGAATAATGATAACATACACACATCCACTTTTGCAAATTCGAATGTGCTGTGTTCAATTTGTAAATAGTCATTGGGTCCAAATATATCTGGCACACTTCCAATGCGTGCCAATTGGTTATATTCCAAGAGCGCACATCTGTTTGCAGTCTTATGCCATGTTCACTTGCCGATGGGATGCCTCCTGTGCACAGTGCAGGCTCGGCGCTGTGTGGAGTTCAGGGGTGAGCCACACACACCTGAACCCTCAGGAAGTCTAGTGTCCAGTAGGGATGAGAAGACCGTAAGGAAGTGGTTAGCCATTGGAAAGGTAGTGGAATGCTGATATTTTCAGGGATGAAATAGGACTTTATTTGCAGAAGGCTTCCTGGAGGAAGTGGAATTTCTAACTTCATGACCTCTAAGATTAATTAAAGCTTTAATAGGCAAGACATTTTAAACGTTGAGGAATGGTTTTCTCAGCTGAAACAAATTTGAGCAGAAAAATTTTGTGTATATGTGGCTTTCCGTCACTTAATAATATGCATTTCCCATTTATTTTCTGGATGTAATTAAGTGACTTGTAATAATTACTTTAAAAGAAATCTCATTTGATGTAGCTGTTTTTCTGAAAATGTTCTCTAAGTTACGTGCTGAATTGAAATTTTGCTTTTTCCCCTGAATAATTCCCTTTTACAACTCCAGATGCTGGGAGACCACCGCCATGTTAAAACTCTCGAATGTACCTCTAACTGCATTCGAGTGAAGTGCAGGCAGGTAGAACACAGCTCTGTCAGTTGTTAAAATAGGACAGTGTTCTTGTTACCAGACACTTCTCATGTATTGACCTTAAGGACCACAGGGAAACCAAGCCAGAGCACCCAGGATCCCTGTGTTTCCCACTAGATCACCTTTTTCTGAGACCTCAGTCTAATTGCTTCTGCCTCTTGGTACTGGTCCAGACTTACTATCCATCTCCCAGACCCTCTGGCTTCTACCCACACCACCGGCCTATAGGCTGGCGATTCGGCTAAGAGCAAGTTAATCAACATGAGATCTTGGCTAAAGGACATATTTGTCTCTTGAAGAGATACCTGCACCCCCATGGTCATTGCAGCATTATTCACAATAGCCAAGACCAGGAAACAATCCAAATGTCCATGAATGGATGAGTGGATAAAGACTGTACAACGTACACACACACCCCTCAGCCATAAGAAGAAGGGAATCCTGCCTTTTATGACACCATGGATGGATGTTGAGGACATTATGCTAAGTGAAATAAATCAAATAGAAAAGAACAAATACTATACATTCTCACTTAGTTACAGAATCTTAAAAAAAACAAACTAATAGAAAGAGAGAATAGGATGGTGGTTGTCAGGTGTGGGGTTGGGGTGGGGGCGGCGGGGAGATGTTGGTCAAATGGCACACACTCCCAGCTATAATATGAGAAGTTCTGGGGATCTAATGTACAGCCTGGTGACTCTCATTAGTAATACTGTGTTACATACTGAAAGTTGTTAAGAAAAGTAGACCTTAAAAGTTTTCTGCACCAACAGAAAAAGTGGTAATCCCATGAGGGGATGGAGGGGATTAAACCATCACGTTTTTTGCTGTGAGTTTAGGTATATGTTATATGCCATAATACCTCAGTAACGGGGAATGCTTGTTGAAACCTCATTACCTGTGTTCGAAATGTTTTCTCTCTGATCTGGATGGCAGTTACAGAGGATATAGGTGTATACATTTATTCAGTTAAACTAAGATTTTTGCATTCCAATAAAAATGTAAAAATAATAATAACCGAAAACTCCATTATCGTAGCCACTGAAGTATTGCCAGTTTTGGTCTATCTTGGGGTAATTTTGCAATGATTTATGCGTTGCCAAGCATGTAAAAATAGCTCTGCAGAATTTTTAGTGTTTTTCTTTTGCATTCCTTTAAAAAAAAATGTTTTTGTTGATTTCAGAGAGAGGAAGAGAGAAGGGATAGAAACAATGATGAGAATCGTCCATTGGTTACCTCCTGTATGCCCCACACTGGGATCAAGCTTGAATCCCAGGCATGTGCCCTGACTGGGAATCGAACTGTGACCTCATGAGTTGAGGCTCAACCACAGAGCCACACCGACTGGGCTGCATTCCTTTTTAAATTTTTTTTTCAATCAATTACTTGAACAATTACTTGAAATAACCTAAATAGGGAACAGTGGAAGATTAATAGTAACAATTATTTGTACATCTTCAAAACTGCAAACAAAAGAAAGGAGAAAAAGAACAAAATTTCTGGGGGGGGCTATGAAAATGCTTGTTGTAAAAGCACTTTTTTTCATGCTTTAGGATTTTCACTAAAATACTTAGTATCTGAAGATATTAACCTGCAACTAAATCAGTATTTTGACCACATTGTCATGTTTACCAACTTGCATCTGGTCTGAAACTTTTCAGCCAATTTTTAAGCCAGGCTTCCCACACTCCCACCTCTGCCCACCCCCGCTTCCATCTTTATGTCTAGCTTTTGGTTAAGATTCAGACTGAGGTCTGCTGGTGAGTCAACAGTAACTGCGTGATAATGTCAAAGGGAACAAAAATAGAACAGCGAAGTCTACCCCTAGCTGTGATTGCCGAGGTTCAACACCAAAAGGGAGAGAAACATTCCCTGCTAAGAGAACTTTGTTGGGAAATAAAAAATTAAATAAACTTGATGCCATTAAATTATAGCATTAACACTGTAAAATCCAGGAATGGTATAAAAATTAAATTTGAGTTTCTTCTCCCCAACCAACCCAGCCCTGCTCACCATGTTGGATGGGTTTTCTGCTAGCACCAAGTGCCTCTTAATGTTTTGAAAGCCAGCGATCTAACGCGACCTCTCTCGTTGGAACAGGACAGCTGGGAAGTGGTGGAAGGACTGAGGGGAGAGGTGAACTACACCCAGGAGCCACCAGTCCAGAAAGGGTTTTTGCTGAAAAAGCGGAAGTGGCCCCTGAAAGGCTGGCACAAGGTAAGACGCCAGCCTGGGCCTCACCTGCAGTTTAATTTGACATTGAAAATGGGGACCCAGGGAAGACCGGGCATTTCAGTGGAATGTGTTCATGAATTACACTTTCTTCCCCACAGAGATTCTTCTATCTGGACAAAGGAATCTTGAAGTATGCCAAGAGCCAGACGGATGTAAGTCTCCCAGTTCATCAGTGGGCTGGTGAAGAACTCGGGAGGGCTAGTTGTCAACTCCTGGACGAGATTGTGTCCATGGTGGGGGGCGGGATTCCATCTCTCTGAGCTGGAACCACGGGGGTAATACGGAATAGGGGGGCTGCTCCCCAGCCCTGGCTTCTGGGTAGGCTCAGTTCCCCCGCTGAGTTGCGAGGGGGCTCCTCTCAGCACCCCACTGTGTACCCAGGGGTCTGTGCTGGCCCCAGGTCATGCTGAGGGGTACTCTGGGTGGAGAAGACAGTTTTGCGGCGAGATGACAGGAGCAAGACACAGGGCGAGTGTAGCGGTGACTGGGGGGTTCGATGAAGAACCCTTAGTGAAGGTGACATGACGGTCCCTTGGTTCTGCCCCTCGTAGGGGCCCCTCTCTCACCCAGCACTCCTCCCACCCCCTTCCTCTCCTGGCCTCTTACGATGCTCCTCTGAACGGTTGCATACACAACATTTGTGTAATGTTGGGCCCACAGTAGTCTGACTTGGCTTCCAGTCCCTACCCCTCTTTTTAAATCACTTCCCCGAGAGTGTAACAGGAGCAAGAATTGTGGGAGGAAGGGCAGTTACAGGGGAATCTGCCGCGGTGGAGTCAGTCCACAGGGCTCACCTCCTTGCTTCCTCACCTGCTGGCTGGGGAAACCGTGTCACAAAGCCCCTCACAGATTACACAGGACAGCGCATAGGCAGCACCGGGAACTCGGCACTGGCCCACACTGGGTGCTGGATAAGTCCTAGTCCTCAGGGCGCCGGTCAGTGGCTGTGGCAGGCGGAGGGGGGTCCGGGATGTTACCAGCCCCGCAGCGGCCGGTTCTCAGGGCCTCCTCCTGCCCCCGCAGATCGAGAGGGAGAAGCTGCACGGCTCCATCGACGTGGGGCTCTCGGTGATGTCCGTGAAGAAGTCAACCAAGTGCATAGACCTGGACACCGAGGAGCACATCTACCACCTGAAGGTGAGCCCTCCCGCGCCGTCTCCAAATACAGCATCATGTTTAGTGAAGAACCATTTACTATGGGTTAGAATATGTTCCTTGAAATAAATATTTAATATTTAGCCGGACTTACAACTTTGGCCATTACCTCTCTCCTATTGCATTGCATGTCAGGAAGTTACCCCCTGAAGTGCGGGCCTTGGTCCAAACAGTACTTCTGAAAGGGGCTTACCCCCCTGCCGTCCTTTCTCCTGTGGGCACCAGAGACGGCTGAAAACATGAGACAAGAGCTTTGGCGGTTCAGATCTGGTTCCATGCTCGACCTGGCTATTTACCAGCTCTTGGCCTTTGGCAAATTATTTGATGTCAGAAGGCCTCGATCTTCTCAGACCCCAAAATGGGCATTATTACAGAGCTCCTCTTGTAGGGCCTCATGTAGAAAACTTGGCCTAATGCCTGGCCCGTAGTCATCTCCATAAGTTCAGTTATTACATATAATTATTATGTGGTTCCCAAATATTAGAAATTAATGGAGAAAATGTTAGGACACTTTTTCTTACTTGGTCACATTATTTGGACTTGGCAGTGGGCGCTGAGGGTTGGGAGTGTGAAAGCATGAGATTATGGGCTCTCTCTCCTCCCACAGCATGTATGTGTGTGATGCTTGGGCAAATAGACATGTAACATATACATGTGATCCATTGACCACACAAGATAGTCAAGGGCATTCTGCTTCCCAGCCCAGGGCCCTCCCCCTGTGGGGATGGTGAATTGTGTGAAGCAGGGTTTCTTACCCTCACCGCTATGACATGGCAGCTGGAGCCTCTTTGCTGCGGGGCCTGTCCTGTGCCTTATAGGATGTCGAGTGGCATCGCTGGCCTCTAGATGTTGGTAACACCCCCCTGCAGTTACAATAACCAGAAATGTCTCCAGACATCGCCAAAAAAACAAAAACAAAGAACAACCAAAAAACATTTTAAGAAAGAACATTTTCCCACCCCCACTTAAATGGTCAATCTTCTTTACAATAATTTCTTCTCCTTGTACCTCAATGACTCTTGGTTCTGTGTTTTGATGCGGCCATGAAATTATAGGTTCTTGTTCACCCACTATTCTAGTTTACCAAATAAAGGTGATTTTTAATTCTCAATTTTTAAAGAACTAGAATGCCTTAAGATGCATTAAATGCTAATATCATGACAACACAGTTTAATGCTTCTCTGAGTTGAATCAGTTGAAGTTCTGTTTGTGCTTCCTCCTCATTCTCTTGAGCGGGAGCTTTGACTGTCATTGTAGGCCATGTAGTTATCAGAAGGTTCTACTTAGTAGCCTCAGAGGCAGGCCATTTTTAAATGTGGGTCATCCAGTGCCGTTCTCTTATTTTATGGATGAGGCATCCGGCAGCAGAGTTAGTTGGCTGTCCACCCACAGTCCTAGAACTATTCGAAGGGCTAAAACAGAACCCTGGTCCATCATTTAGCAAAGTGCTTTTTATTCTTCAGTTTAACCAGTACAAAATGAGTCAAGATGAGCACTTTGGGCACTGATTTTTCAAGGGCCTCTGAGAGCAGATCAGTGCAGGGGATGACATAGATTCCTGTTAACCACACCTGGGAAATGAAATCTATTTCAAGGACGTAATTCAGGGGAGGTGGGGAGATGAGCCTGTTTGTATTGCTTCTTTCTGTGCATGACGCATTCAAGAGCTCCTGGAGAGGTTTTCAGCCTTGCACATACTTCTAATAACACAGCAAACATAAGAGCCAGCCTACCATTTCCCGGCTGACATTTATTTCCACATCCTCGCTCTCGGCAGTGGCTTTGGTAAAGATTTTAACAGCATTGACCTAATTTTTCTTCTTAGAAGTGAACCTACCACATCCTTCGGGGGTATTATAAATTGTTACTTTATGAGTCTGTGTTCTAATATACAAGAATCTATCATTTTTTCATTTTGGAAATGTTTAATATACTCTCACACACCCACAGAAATATTGACTATTAAGAAATGACTATGCTGCGTAGGTGTTTGTAATATTTTTGTAGTACTTTGATGAACATTTGAGATGTTTTATAATAAAAATTACTATTTACAAACAGCATTTTTCATGGGAATTAGATATTAATAGATATTTATGGAGAGAATAGTTAATTGGGGGGGGAAAAAAAGTATATTGATTTTTACCCAGCTGGTGAATGTTGACTTATGAACCAGGAGGTCATGGTTCAATTCCCCTCAGGATACAAGCCCGTGTTTTGGGCTCAATTCCCAATGCAGGAGGGTGGGGGTGGGGGGGGGGGTACAGGGGATAGAAGGGATGTGCAGGAGGCAGCAAATCAATATTTCTCTCTCATCGATGTTTCTATCTCTATTCTTCTCCCTTCCTCTCTCTAAAATTACTAAAAATGTATTTTTAAAAAAGAATATTGATTTTTAGAGAGAAAGGAAGGGAGAGGGAGAGGGAGAGAGAGAGAAACATCTGTATGCATACAATATTGATTGGCTCCCTCCTGCACACTCCCTGCTGGGGATCAAGCCCACAACCCAGTAGGTGGTGTGCAGGAGGCAGCTAATCCATGTTGTGTCCTGATGCGAAAATGAACCAGGACGACGCCCAACCAACTGAGCCACACTGGCCAGGACAAGGATAGCTAAATGTTTGTGTGTGAGAGTTTGAAAAACCCTGGGGATCGCCAATAATACTTTATCATGTTTCTTCTATTTCTGAGAGCAGGAGAAATGTCCTTCTTTTAAATAACCTTCACATTCATGAACATACTCCTCAGCAATGCAGCCTCTGACGGAGGTTTACAAGGTTAACTATTTTAGGAAGAATTTACCAAGCCGTTCCAGGTCAGAGAAGATTGATCTGAAAAGTCCAAAATATGGAAGAGTTTAAAAACAAAGCAGGGTGCTGATTTTTTCAGCAGGGACAGGATAAGCTGGGGCCCAGGGCTTGGAAATGCTTTGAGGCAGAGAAATAGAAACTTCAGTTTTATTTGTTGTTTAATATAACCAATACTGTTTTGCTTTCCTACTGTCAGAGTAGCAATTGGACCCTCCCGTAGAAGACCTAAATGTATCGTTTACAAAACCATTTTTACTCTCCTTCCTCCTCCACGTGTCCCAAAGGTCACACAATGTAAACTAATAAGCTGGCATCCCTGCGGGCGCCCGCAGACGCTCTCCAGTGACGCTCTTGTTTCCCTCCCCCACGCTGACACACGCAGGTCAAGTCGGACGACGTGTTTGACGAGTGGGTGACCAAGCTCCGCCACCACCGCATGTACCGGCAGAACGAGATCGCCATGTTCCCCCACGAGGCAAACCACTTCTTCCCGGGGCAAACCGTCACCGACTCCGCGCCCGGGGCCCTGGACCCCCTCTCGGGTCGGAAGGTAGTCACCTGCCAGTGATGAGCCTGAGGGAGGGGTGGCCCAGGTGGGGGAGTCCCCCTGGGGGAGGGGGCTGGAGGGGAGGAGCAGGGAGGCCTGAGCTGGTGTTTGATGAGCCCGTTGTCCCGTGAGTCACCGGGCCAGGAGCGTGTGTGTGCCCTCCGGGACGGCACCCGGAGGAACTTTACACCCCAGTGCCCCCTCCCTCTGGCCAGCCTGACTTTGGTTCTCTTATCTGGCTGTGAAAGGCAGGAGGCGCGTTTACAGCCACGTGGGATGGCAAAGTCCCCCACGTCTATCGTGGTGCTGATATGGTTATCGTCGGCCAGGAGGAGGGCTGCAGTCCAAGGCTCTGGCCTGGCCCGGGGACAGCCAGCCGGGCTCTTCCCTGGAGGGCTCTGCTGGAAGCTCCCTTCCCGGCCAGGCAGATGGCTCCCTGAGGGACAGCGTGCCCCCGCGGGCTCCGTCCTCCCTCACACTGGCTTTTGTCATCCTGGGACAGCGGAGCAGTTTATCAAAGCAGAACTCCTTTCAAACCGGGAGCAACCTGTCCTTTTCCTGCGGAGAGATTCGCGTCCCCTTGTGGCTGCAGCATTCGGAGGACATGGAGCAGTGCTCGAAAGGTAGGACTGGGCCCCTCGGCCTCTCCCTCCCGCTCTCCCAGCGGCCGGTTCGGCACGGACCCCGCGGCCGCGCCTGCATCCCCATCCCTGCACACGCCCTGCCCCGCGCTGCTGAGTAAGCGCGCCCCTGGTTAGCAGAGGGCACTCCCTGCGGAGTGTTGGTCACCGCCTTTTCCGTTCTTCACGTGCTGATGCCCGATTGCCACGCGGGCGTGTTCAGCCACAGCCACCAGGGCGGGGTCTGCACAGCTGTCTGTCTGTTTACCTGCCAAAAAGGATTCGGACACACGTCTGAGATCGAGAGTCACGGTTCTGGAGGCGAGCGGAGACCCACACAGATCAGGTGCTCTCTGCCCTGGCTGCACGTTAGACTCTCCAAGGGGCTTTCCAAGTGCAAGAATACCCGTGCCCGGGCCCCTTCTCCCAAAGAATCTCTTTCAGTTGGTTTGGAGTAGGCCCTGGCATCACTGATTTTTAAAAATATATATATATTTTATTGATTTTTCACGGAGAGGGAGAGGGATAGAGAGCTAGAAACATCGATGAGAGAGAAACATCCTCCTGCACACCCCCCATTGGTTTGCAGGCACATCCAATGTACATGCCCTCGACCGGAATCGAACCCAGGACCCTTCAGTCCGCAGATCGACGCTCTATCCACTGAGCCAAACAGGTTTCGGCGCATCACTGATTTTTTTGAAGTCCCCTAAGTGATCCTGATAAGGAGCCAGGATTGACGACGCTTGCCATAGGCTGCTCAGTGTTCTCAATGTAATTAGTTAAGAATCACCCAGGGAACTAAGTAACAAAAAGTCACCCGTGGGATTGTGGGTGTTCTGCTTTGTTTGGGGGTGGGACTTGGGCATTTAAAACATTTCCCCAGTTGACTGTAAGGTGTAGCCATGACTGAGAACCAGTGTTGGAGAAAGACACCGGGTGGGAGCCTTGAAGACAGCATTCGCTGCTGGTGAAGGACATTACCGTCCAGGGCCAATAGGTGCCCTCTCGGTAAAGATCACTCACGAGCGTCACGGAGTAACATTTTGGGACAGTGGTCCTTGAAGCATCGTCCGAGGGGATGGACCAGCAGCACCGGCCTGGTCTGTGAACTTGGACATGCAGAGTCTCAGGCCCAGCCCACATAGTCTGAGTCAGAACCCGAGGTGGGCCTGGCCATCTGTGGTTGTGCAGGTTCTTCGGGTGATTCTGCTGGCACCAGAGTTTGAGAGCCACTGCCTTCATGCAAGGGGGGCATTGATTCCTCGGCAGACACAGCTGGTTCACCCAGGAAACAGCAAATTGAGAACTGCTTTTGAGTTAGTGACCCAGGAACTGGTCCGAGAACATCTTAGGTCCTCCTGGGTCCGTCTGCAGAAGTGTACCATTTACCTTTTCCCAGGTCCTTTCAAGCGGACAGTAACACCTGTTACTGCAGTATTAGAAGTGATGATGATGGTGCCAGCACTCCAAAAGCACACTGCATATATTAGCTCATCTAACTCACAACTGTGAGCTAGGTGTGTAATCATCCCCACCTTCCAGATGAGAAAACTGAGGCATGCAGCAGTTGCATAATTTGCCAAAGATTCACAGTTCATTAAGTGCGTTCACACGAAGGCAGACTGGTTCTCCAGATCTTCGCCTCTAAGCACGACAGTCTGCTGCCTCTCCTGTAGCAAAGGAAGTCCCATTTCCTGTCCTAACAGGTGCACGTCAGATATCGATACACGAGAAAAGTAGCTGTGCCAGCACAGCAGTGCCTGAATGCCCAGATAAGTGCCCCTAAGTCGACTTTTTGCTTTCCTCCGCAGACCTGGCCCACTGCCACTCCTACCTGCTGGAAATGAGCCAGCTCCTCCAGAGCATGGACGTCCTGCATCGGACGTATTCCGCGCCCGCTATCAACGCCATCCAGGTGAGCCAGGTCCCTCCTCTGTTTGCGTCCTGATGCTCTCCTGCTCTCCTTTCTCCTCCCCGCCTTTCACTAACAGTGGGATGATTTCTGGTCCGATGCTTGGGCCAAGTTCAAGGGGATGGAGATGGTTACTCTGCTGTGCGTTTTCCCCTATGGGTGTGGTGGATCTTACTGTCTGTGCTCTCTTTCCCATTTTGAAACAAAGGGTGGAGCTTTTGAAAGTCCCAAAAAGGAGAAAAGATCGCACAGGAGGTGGCGGTCCCGAGCTATTGGCAAAGATGCTAAAGGAACACTACAGGTAACCACTGCTTCCCCAGAGGACTGGTCCTCCACTGGCCCTTCTCTGCACATCACGTGCTGGGGGCTACGTGAACTCAAGTAAGAGACTAGAACAGACAGGTGAAGATTCTAACTATTCTATCCAATACCCTGTGCAGAGCAATGAAGTCAGTCACTGAGACTTTCTGGACCCTAGAGCAGGCATGTAAAACTGGGTAAGGGGAAATGGCATGAGGTTGGTGGGACCACAGCCATTTCGAGGGCTTTGGCTTCTCCTTCTGTAATGCTTAGCCTGCCTGCTCGCTTCCCTGCTTGGGTAGGTGCCCTGACCTCTCTTCCGCTGCTGCTCAGTGGGGCTCTCACCCTCTGAGCCCACTGGCTGGAGTTTCTGGGAACAGGACATTATGTAGATGCTCGTTTCCTATGTCACACCAGCTGCTGACTTTCCCAATGCACAGCTGAGCCGAAGCCCAGGATTTGCAGCTTGGCCACTGCATGTTAAATCGCAACCATATTAGGGTCCCGATAAATCCAGAAAGTTATAGATAAGTCATCTGCTGTATTCTTGTCGACTCTTTGGTTCAAAGCACTTTGTGGGTTGAACTTAAGTACTTTCAAAGTAAAGAGTGATCTGTGTACAAATATGGGAGAAGCTAGTTCATTTTCTAGAAGCATCAGGAGCAAATGAAGAAAACATTTCTAAACCTATCCACTATGAGCAGCCTAGACACACTGGAGGATTATCGCTGGGAGGAAGGAACCGAATATAAATGAGGAAGAGCCAGCAGCTTTAGCCGTCGTTGTCAAACCATAGCTTTAGTACTTCTATCATTTCCAGAGAATGTATTCATCTCCCCATAAGTGCGGTTTTGTTTTCTGTGGTTTTGGTTTTCCACAGTCAGCCGCAGTCCAAAAACATTAAAAGGTAAATTCCAAAAGTCAATAATTAATAAGGTTTAAGTTTCATGCTTATATGGCTCAGTATTATCCACAGTTTCAAGTGTCCATGGGGTCTTTTAACATATCCCCACAGATAAAGGGCAGACTATATTATATGTGCTTTCTTACCCATTTAAAAAAATATATATACTTTTATTGATTTCAGAGAGGAAGCGAGAGGGAGAAGGAGATAGAAAGATCAATGATGAGAGAGAATCGTTGATTGGCTGCCTCCTAGATGCCCACTACTGGGGATCGAGCCCACAACCCAGTCATGTGCCCTGACTGGAATTGAACTGGGACCCTTCAGTCTACACACCCATGCTCAACCACTGAGCTAAGCCATTTAGGGCTTTCACCCATATTTATTTTTGCAAAAAGCCAGTACAACTTGAGGTAGAAAGTACTTTCCTGAGTTTTCATTTATTTTTCTTATAAGTAATCACTCAATAGTAAGACTTTCCTACACATTGACTTTTTCTTACTACTTTCCAACCTTAGAAACAAGTAAACATTCTGAGCAATGTGCATCTGAACAGAAATATCTCCTTTTGGTATTACTTTAGGTGCCTAAGCCTTTTGATGGCCCACAAAGACTGCATTCTTCCAATCCCAATTTGTCAACACTAGATTTTGGAGAAGAGAAAAATAATTCTGATGGCTCTGAAACTTCATCTGAGTTTTCTAAAATGCAAGAAGATCTGTGTCATATTGCCCATAAAGGTACGTGTTTAATGAAAATATTAAGTGCATGTCTGAATGTGGGCTGTCCTTGGAGAAGGACTTCGGTTGGTTAATTTCCTGATCTTTTGAGATTTTAGGCAACCCATTTTTTTTTTTAAATTTCCCTAAGAGGTGTCTTCTAAACTCATTAGGGGAGATAGTGAGAGCATTAGGTATGATTTAAAAGCTGAGTAATTTATATGCTGCTGATAGGGATGTAAATTGGTACTTTAAAAAAAAAAATCTGCCTATTCACCAACCCCACTTTAAAGAATTCATTTGTAGGAATTCACTTAAAATTTATTCAAATAAAGATATTCATTTTAGTACTGTTTATCACGTCAAAAATTAGGAATAAATGTTCAACATCATTAGCCAGTAGGAAATGCAAATTAAAACCATGATATTGCCATGCACCTATAAGAAGAGCTAACATTAAAAAAAAATACTGATAGTACCAAATACTGGTGGCAATGCAACATGATACAGCTACCCTGGCAGAAGTTTGGCAGTTTTATATAAAAATAAGCTCACCATGCAGCCCAGCATTCACATTTCTGGCATTTATCCCAGAGAAAATGTACACGTAACTCCACACAGATGCCTTTACACACGTGTTCAAAGCAAGTTCATTTGTATTAGCCAAAGACTGGAATGACCCAAATGCTCTTTAACAGATGAATGGTTAGACAGACCATGGTATATCCATACAGCGGAATACTGCTCAGCAGTTAAACGGAGTAGACTGTGGTTAGACACAGGAACCGAAGGAACCTCAGGGGCATTATGCTGACTGAAAATGTGATTCCACTTACTAACACTTTTGAAGTGATAAAATTATAGAGATGGAGAAGAGATTAAGGGTCGCCCAAGGTTACAGATGAGGAGGAGAGAATGGAGGAAAGTATAAAGAGGTAGAAAGAGGGATCTTGGTGGAGATGAATAATTCTATATCCTGATTCTGATGGTGGCTCCACAAACCTACACAAAAGACAAAATTACATCGACTTATATTTATACACACAAACGTAAATAAGAGCATGTAAAACTGGTGAAATCTGAATAAGAGCAGTCAATCCCAATGCCAGTTTCCCGCTTTTGATATTGTACCGTAATTATGTACGATATTATACTGTGGGAAATTGGATGTAGGGTACCCAGGACTTCTCTGTACTGTTTTTGCCACTTCCTGTGAGTCTACAATGACTTCAAAATTGAAACGTAAAAATAAATTAGAGGTCACCTAAATGTCCCAAACAGAGGGACTGTATTTTTTAATGTAATATAATCATATGATAGAATAGTCAATAGCCACATAACAATCATAACAATGATAATAATAATAGTAATAATATTAGCTTATTTTGAGCTCAGAGCTGTCTGTCAGGTAGTTGTAAAGCACTTGTCTCACACTGTATTTCACTTAATTCTAGCAACAACCTAGGGAGTAGGTGTTAGCATGACCGCCATCACGCAGGTAAGAGACCTGCGACGTAGAGAAGCCTCAGAACTTCCTGCAGGTCACATGGTAGGGAATAGGCAACTTGAGAGTTGAATCCCCTACTTCTCACCTGGTGGCTCACTGCCCTCTGTGGGGTAGCCAGGGCCATTTTTACAGAGATGGGAAGGGAGAAGTTCATAGCATATCAGTGAGTAAAAATACAGGGTCACAAAACAATCCATAGGTACGATCCCATTTTTTCAGAAAAGATAAACCTGGTGTGCACAGGCTTACTCAAAAGTCTGAATGGATATACACCAGCATTTTCATGATGGATGTTGAGGTGTAACACTTATTATCTCCTTTGTGTTTATCTTTTTTTTAAATTTCATATATTAATCATTTTTAAAGAAGAAATAGGTTAAATATTTTAAATGGGAGGGCTGTGCTTGCAGTAGGAAATAAGACATTCCCTCTATGTTTTTTAAAATATTTTTTTATTGATTTTAGAGAGAGAGGAAAGGAGAGGGAGAGAGAGAGAGAGAGAAGCACCAATGATGCGAGAGACTCATTCATCAGCTGCTTCCTGCACGCCCCCGCCTGGGATTGAGCCTGCAGCTCGGGCCTGTGTCCTGACCAGAATCAAACCGTGACCTCTTGGTTCCTGGGTGGATGCTCAACCACTGAGCCACCCCAGCCAGGCAGACATTCTCTCTGTTGCCTTGCTCTCCTAGACCAGTATTTCTCTTCTTTCCTGTTATTAATTACTTTAGCTCTTTTTTTAATTTTTTTATTCCTTAGTCTAAAAGCCTAAAACATGCTGGGTATGGGGAACGCTTTAGCTGGGACTTTGTCAGTGTTTTGCAATGCTCCTGGTCCGTCTGTGAAATGGGCAGAATTACCTGCCCTGGCCCTTTAACGCTCTCCCCCGCCTCTCCCCACACGTGTCCTCTGCTGTGAAAGCATCAGTTACAATTAGGCATTCCTGTTGGGTTTTGTGGGAGGAATGTCTGTAAAACACCTTTACTTTTTAATGGTATGAACTGTCTTTTTAAAAATGGGAAAGTGCTGCCTCCCGGCAGAGGGAAATGCCTGCATTGTACCTCCACGAGGCGCCTGCTCCTCTGCAGGCACAGGGGCCATTGATCCTGGCCTCCCGCAGAGGACTTGGCCTCGGGGCCGCCTCTAATGGCCGCGGCCAGCTGCTCCCTCGTTGGGGCCCTGAGAGCCAGCTGGCTGCGGCGGCCGCGTGCCCAGGCGAGGTCCGGGCCCATGCTCCAGGGAGGTGCGGTGCACTTGGTCCACAGCAGCTGGGCCTGCGGGGTTCGAGACAGTGAATCCCACGGGGAGCCCGGCGAGCTGTGTTCCCTTCCTGCAGCCACTCCACTGGCTCTCAGCACAGGGGCCAGCCAGTGTTGCCCCGTGGTTGAGTGGTCGTTTTTTAAAGGTTTTGAGCTTATGGAAGCATTGCATAAAAAGCCAAGTATGTCACGAGGATGTCATTTTCATCAGTTAACAGTTAAAAAAAATATATATATGGCTTAGAGCAAAACCAAATACTATGTATTTGTCAAACATAATACAGAATTTGGCATAAAAATCTGCTGGGCAATTGTATTTATGCAAATAATGAGTAAATAAGTAGGACCATTTAATGAAATGACTCAGTGTGTCTACATTTAAGGAATCTTTTAGATAAAATATGGGTTAGAAAGCATTTTAAAACCACGGCCATCCTGTGAGGTTTGGAAATTAGGGGATGCAGATGCCAAAAGATGAAACCACCCCAGATATTTTAGGTATAGCAGTATTAACGTTTGAAAGAAAATCCACCAGAATGTGGTTTTCATTAAACAGGGAAAGATAAAGAATGTGTCCTCCTGTGGGTTGGATGCTGTACAGCGGCAGCATGCTTCCTCACTGTTCCCTGAAAGCTTTCTGGAGGTGCGGGCACTTTCCATATCTGCGGATGTGGAGCCTGAGGGTTGTCCGGCATCCAAGCAGTAACTAAGTGGTGGAGGAGGATGTTGGCTCACGTTTGCCTTATTACAAACCTCTTAACCTCTTACCATACTGCCGCCAGGGAGGTGATGTCTGTGATTTGCATGTCCTCCTCAAGATCTTATTCTTTTCTGAGAAACTTCTAGAGAAGGGGCATATTAAAAAATAGAGCTCAGGTAAATTAAGAGTTTGGGTGTCCAAACATGCTGTCTGCACTCTCACCACTTTACTCAATAAAAGACAGCATGGACCTAGCTGGTGTGGCTCAGTGTTTGAGTGTCGACCTATGAACCAGGAGGTCAAGGCACATGCCCGGGTTGTGGGCTCAATCCCCAGTGTGGGGTGTGCAGGAGGGAGCTAATCAATGATTCTCTCATCATTGATGTTTCTATCTATCCCTCCCCTTCCTCTCTGAAATCAATATATATATATATATATATATATATATATATATATATATATATATATATATATGTGTGTGTGTGTGTATATATATATATATATATATATATATATTTTATATATATATATTTTTTTGGGGGGGGGGGCGGCATGGAAGCAGGCAGAAACAGGAAAGGTAGAGGTCACTAAGAGTCACTTGTATGATGCTTATGGCATTTCGTTTTGTCAGAGGCCAGCTTGTGTCCACTCTCTCAGTACAGTGAGGGGGTCTGAGAAATGGCTGAAGACAGTCTGGGAAAGAGATGAGTGAACAGAGAGGCCATGATTGCCTTCTGATATTTGAAAGCCCAGCAAAGAGGCCAGTGAGGAGACTCTGGGCTAGGGGTGTCGAACTCAATCAGAGAAAGGGCCAAAATCTAAAATCCAGCCTAAATCGTGGGCCGAATGGTTTACTGAACAGTCATAAACTGTCATTGTGATGGAAACACAGCGGAGTGCAGTGATGACAGCGCGGTGCGGGCCACATTGCAAGGCCTGGCGGGACGGATTTGGCCCGCGGGCCTTGTGTTTGACACATGTGCTCTGGGCTAAACATCAGTGTAGGAGCACAAAGGACTTCCTTACCCCAGAACAGTGGACTGCTCTAGGGGACAGCACATGCTCTGAGAAGCAGGGGCCCAAAGGCCCTGTGACCAGGAGATGCTGGGCCTTGGATGTGGCGGTGGCCTTCCTGGTCTGTGAGGGTCTTTGTAGTTGAGCATCTAAGACTTCCCATGTGGTCTTGGTCAATATCAGATATCCAGAGGTGTGCTACACCAGTTCTTTCTTTTCCTTCTTCTGTAGCATCATTTTGGAAATTAGTGAGAGAACACTCCTGTCATAGGGAATATTCCTGACCTCTGAGATTCTTAACGATTAATATAAATATGATCTCTCTGTGTGCTGGTCAGGAGACTGCCGTAAAACACTGTATTTTTGTCCTCTGAGTGGGCCTAAGCCAGTGGTCGGCAAACTGCGGCTCACAAGCTACATGCGGCTCTTTGGCCCCTTGAGTGTGGCTCTTCCACAAAATACCACAGCCTGGACGAGTCTGTTTTGAAGAAGTGGCGTTTGAAGAAGTTTAAGTTCAAAAAATTTGGCTCTCCAAAGACATTTCAATCATTGTACTGTTGACATTTGGCTCTGTTGACTAATGAGTTGGCTGACCACTGGCCAACTGACCACTGGTCATTTAAGAAATTTAGTGCATGAGGCTCTGGTCTTCTGAGTCCCTTTGACAGGTGGCTTTGACCTTAAAATTAAATATAGTGACTAGATGAGTTTCTTTTGGCTTACTTAGTGCCCGCCGCGGTCTTGTCCACTGTACATTTTGAACCAAAAGGTGCGCGTTCTGCCAAGTTGAACATTTTAATAGGAATCTTCTAGCTTGGTCGACTGCCTAGCTTTAGTGCATTCTCTGAAAGCCGGAGGAATTGATCGGCTAAGTGGCAGCCGGCCGAGAGCCACATTTATTTAATTTAGAGCAGTAAATAAGACAGTGAAAAAAAACGGTAACGACTTACTGTGGTAATCATTTTGCAATGTGTACAGCTATCGAACCATTTTGTTGTGCACCTGAAATTAATATCATATTACCTATTATACCCCAGTTTAAGAAATGACCGTGAAGTGGTGGGTCTGAGGAGCTGCAGAGGCGGGCAGCGCCTGTGATAGACACGGATGCCATGGGGCTTAGCTGTGGGGCTGCGGCTCCTGCTGAGGCTGCTCTTCCGCTGCTCAGTGGATCTGGTCGATCCCTCACTCATGGAACCTGCATGCAGTTCTTTGTCGGCATTGTCCTGGCAAAAGACCTCGGAATCCTCCTGAAACTGCTGCTGCGTTTCAGGAAACTAGCCACCACCTGCATTGTCCTGTTTCTTTCCTCTCTATCACCATTACCATTACAGTGACATTTATTATTATTTTTTTTTATTTAAGTATATCTTATTGATTTTTTTTTACAGAGAGAAAGGGAGAGGGATAGAGAGTTAGAAACACTGATCAGTTACCGCCTGCACATCCCCTACTGGGGAATGTGCCTACAACCAAGGTACATGCCCTTGACCAGAATCGAGCCTGGCACCGATGCTCTATCCACTGAGCAAAACCGGTTAGGGCAGTGGTTGGCAAACTCATTAATCGACAGAGCGGCAAACCACTGGGTTAGGGCAACATTTATGATTTATGGTAAGCTCTACATTGGGTTAAGAGCATTATCTCAGTCAACTAATGATCTTATAAAGTAAATGCTATCATCATCCTCATTCATACATGAGGTAACTGGAGTTCAGGCCCACCATGCACTTGTCCAAAGTCATACAGGGAGGAAGGGATGGAGCTGGCAGGAATCCAGGCTGGTGTGGGACCACACTGTTGGTCACTCTGTTGTGCTGCCCGTTATTTGCTTAATCGAATCCTTTAAATTAGGGGTGTCGAACTCAATCAGAGAAGGGGCCAAAATCTAAAATCCAGCCTAAATCGCGGGCCGAATGGTTTACTGAACAGTCATAAACTGTCATTGTGATGGAAACGCAGCGGAGTGCAGTGATGACAGCGCGGTGTGGGCCACATTGCAAGGCCTGGCGGGACGGATTTGGCCCGCAGGCCTTGTGTTTGACACATGTGCTTTAAATCAAAGAGCTGACATTATTAGAAATTGTAGTACCCTGTTTCCCCAAAAGTAAGACAGTGTCTTATATTAATTTTTCCCCCCAAAGTTGTGCTAGATCTTGTTTTCAGGGGATGTCTTATCTTTCCATGCGCTAGGTCTTATTTTCGGAGGATGTCTTATTTTTGGGGAAACACGTTACCTGTTGACCCTTGACCTCTGTCTTATGTAGAGAGAAGCACCATATTGCATGGGGTGTTTAGACAGATTGCTTATTTGTACTGTGCCTTTGTGAAGATGCTCTAAGTCTATCATTAAATACCACAACTTCAGACAAGTTCAGTGACAATCTATAGGAAAGTTCCATGGTCCTTGTGGCTTTGAAATGAAGGAAGTCAATAAATGCATATTTCATTTCTGTGAGAGTAAATAGGCCACTCTTGAATAGCAGTACCTCTAAAAATGCAACCTGTGGAATTCAGTAATATGCCAAGACACTTGAGCAGAAATATGTCCCTTCCTTCTTCCTGCCTTTCTAGGGCAAAATGTAATAAAAATATTGGAAAGATAATACCCATTAACAATAACTTAGATGACAGTTTTCTCGTTCTTAGGAGGTAATTTGTACAATCTGTGATCAACGCCTGCTGAATTTTTTTCTTTTTCTTTTGTCGTGTGTGTAAATGGTTTTTAAAATGCCAGCTCAGGCGTCTGCTAAGCTCGCTTTATACCCGAGTGCTCACTGAAGTGAGCAGAGTAGCCAACTGCCAAGTTTAGGATGTGGAGTTCTGGTAAAGCCGCTGGAAAGACTAACAAGGAAGAGGGCGGGTAACACCTTATGCAATTTGAAATCCTTTCAAACTGATAGACAAGTTGCAAGAACAATACAAATAATTCCCCTATGTACTTTACCCAAACTCACCATTTTTAATATTTTGCTGGTTTATTTTATCTCTTTCTACACACATCCACTTACACAGGTGCTTATTTTTCTGAACTGTGTGAGTAGGAGTCATGTCATGTCTTTCTTATGCCTTCATACGGCAGTGTGGATTTCCTAAGGATAGGGATGTTCCTAGTCACGGTCCAGTCATGAAACCCAGGAAATTCAGCACCGAAACAGCACTGTTACCTGTTCCACCTTCCACATTCACACGCTGCCAGTCATCCTGGTGATGCCCTTTCGTAGCACTTTTCCCTTCAGTATAGGAACTGAATGTTAATTAGACTTACTGTGATTTGCATGTCCTCCTCAAGATCTTCTTCTTGACCATATATTGGGTGTAATTGCTGTGCCTGTTCAGCCTCCCTTAGCCAGGGTCAGTTCCTCAGCCCTTCTCTTTGATGAAATTGACATATAGGCCAAATTTTAAAAATAGAATGTTCCTTATTTTGGGTTGTTTGTTATTTCCTCATGATCAGATTCAGATTGTCCCCGGTCAGATTACGACCAAAAAAAACACGACATTATGCCTTTTCAGGGTATTTCACCCCAAATAACACCAAGCCCATCTGACTCTCATCGGTGATTAATTTTGATCACCAATTAAGGTGCTCTCTGCTTTCCCTACTACATCGTTACTATTGTTACCTTGAAAACCAAGAAGCTTTGTTTCCACACATTTCCAGTCTTTGGAGATACAAACAAAACTAAGTATTAATAAGAATCCAGAAGTATAGTTCTTTCAAGTGTCAAAAGTTCTTGATGATAAGTCATAAAATTATGGAATTTTATAGTGGGTTGGGGCTTTGGAATTGCAAAGGTGATTTTAAAAATTTAATAGGCTTAATTTTTCAGAGCAATTTTTGGTTCACGGCAAAATTGTGCTTATAAACTACAGGGTTTTCATATACAACACACACACACACATACACACACATATACACACATACACACACACACACACACACACACATACAGCCTCCCCCTATCAGCATCCCTCCAGAATGGTCCCTTTGTTACAGTCGTCAAACCAACATTAAAACATCATTATCACCCAGAATCTGTAGTTTAGCTTAGGGTTCACTCTGAGTGTTGTACATTCCAGATGTGTTTTTAAAAAAAGTCAATTTAGAGTTGACTTTCCTGCACTCTAAATGTTCAGGGCTGTTACTTTTCTAGGTTCTCTTATAAGAGATACATCTCTCTATATTTCATGTTTAGTTATGCCTCTTCCTTCCTTCCTTTTTATAATAATTATATCTTTATAGTTTACTTCACTTTAAGGTCGGCTTTTAACACCATCTCCACGGAGAGGGAGAAGCTGAAGCAGCTGATGGAGCAGGACGCCTCGTCCCCCTCCGCCCAGGCCCTGGGGCTGAAGCGCGCCCTGTCCTCCGTAAGTGCCACGTCCGCGTCCCCCAACGCCCGGCAGCGCGCCACGCCCCTGAACCTCCTGTATTTTCCTCTCCGCGGCTGTGGGAAATTCACGAGAAAACCAAACAAGTCATCCGAATTATATTCGAGTCTTTCATCGGATCTGCTTATTCTAAACACCCCAAATCCTAGTGGCGAGTGTTTCACCGAGCGTAAGCTATACTTCATGTTTGGTTTCCTCCTTCTTGGATTCTGTAGAGCTTTTGTGGTGTGTGTGTGTGTGTGTGACAGACACTGGTTTGTGCTTACAGCATCTGACAGTCGGACATTTCTGTACCTAAGACTTCACACGCTTAGACTGACTTCCCAAGTCACAGGCAGCAGAACTAAATGCCAAGTTCACCCTCCTCTCTGCTGCCCAGCACAGACTCTACCACCACTCTTCCAGAGACGTGAAAATGATTTGGTTTTATTTGATTTGATTTGATTTGATAGCGGGAAGCATTTAGCTTCCCCTGCCCTTGGGCAGCGGGAGGTGAGTCACAGGCCGCGTAGGGAACAGTCTGCCTTTGTACCCGGAAGTCAGGCCTCGGCCGTCCATCAGGAAGCCTTTCTGTTATTTGTTCTCCTTTTTTTTAATCGACTCCAGTTTATTCTTCACGGGAGCCAGGCTCCCCGGAAGGGCTGTGTCCTAGAACTCTGCCTTCAGCGGCTGCTGTGGTCTGGCTGCACACTTTGTATCTGTCAGAAAGCGAGGGAGTCTACGGCCCATACCACCCTGAACGCGCCCGATCTCGTCTGATCTCGGAAGCTAAGCAGGGTCGGGCCTGGTTAGTACTTGGATGGGAGAAAGCGAGGAGAGTTTTCAGATGACATGCTCGTTTGCTTCTCCTTTTGCTCGTCCTTTGGAATTCCCGTGGGAACAAGAGAGTGTGCGCACCGAGAAATTGCCATCACAAGAAATGCTGGACTTCCATTTAGGGTCAGGGAGGGGAGACGAATTTTAGGATCTTGTTCTCAGAAGCCAACTGAGAGAGCCAGACAATAGCCATTTGTGCTTCCTATCACCATGTTGCTGAGAAGAGTCATGGTCTTGGCGTAATGTTAATGGTAATGGTAATGGTAATGGTAAATGCATTACCAGGAGTACTTACTGTTATTGTAAGTACCCAAGGAGTATGCACTCGGTTGAACATCTCAAGTACGTTGCCTTTGAAAGAAATAAGGAATAATGTGGACTGACTGCGGGCCCGGAGCCTGAGGAGCTCGGCGATCGTCAAGGTCATAGAGAGCAACACCCTCTGGGACCCTCAGGCTAGGTGCTGCTCTGGTTCCAGAGAAGCGAGATGTCTCTCTCTCTCTCTCTCTCCCTCTCTCTCTCTCTCTCTCTCTCTCTCTCTCTCTCTCTCTCTGACTCTCTCTCTCTCTCTCTCTCGTTTATTTAGTGGCAAAAGCATTTCTCATTGTCCCAGGAGGTCGGCTTTCAGAGGCACCTGTCGGTGAGGCTGGCCTCCTCTGGTAGAGCCTGGTGTCCCAGGCCACAGTCGTCTCACCTTCGCTAAGAAAATCCCTCTCAGCCCTATTCAGGATTTTGGAAACTTAAGATAAAACAGAGCGATGCTTTCCTTTCTGTCTTAGGTTCCTGATTACATTGGTTTTCCACAAAGTAAAATTATAAGGCCATCTCAGGGCTGTCAGAATGTGTGTGCTGTGTGGTGTGTGCAGTCTTGTGTTTTCCTTCTGCCTGTGGCAGATTCCAGCCCCTGGTATAGATTCTAGCTGCTTACTTTTAAGATACCAGAGGCTCAGTGGCCAGAATAAAGCAAGTGTAGATTGTGCTGCTGCGTGGAACAATCTCTGCTCTGTGTGTTTAAGAAACGTTTACTCAGTGTTTCCTGAATGATTTTCAGGAATTTTCAAATAGCCCGTTCCATTCACGGGTATAACAATAAAGCCACGATCTTTGCTAGAGATCCCGGCTGCGCCACATCCTCTGCAGGTCGGCCCTGGGGGAGGCTGTGAGATTCTTGGAAGAGATCAGGAAGACAGACAGACAGGCGGAATGGATCTGGGGATGTCTGGGGGACAGACCTTGGAGAGCAGTTAGCTCACAGGGCAGAGGCGTGAAGGACACGCCTTCCTTTAGTGGCAAGCCAGTTCCTTCCCAGTTGAGAGGTTGGGGGAGGGAATCAGAGCCGCCCAGGGAGAGATCACAGTGGTGGGGTACCTTACACCCTCCCCTCACCCTCCCCCCCTCACCCCCGTGGCTCCTATCTTACGCCTTCATTCCAGGGCCCTGGCTCTGAGCCCTCATCCAGGTAAGTGAGTTTTGTTTTCCTTTTCTTTAAAAATCAAATGTCTTTATCATGAAGAATGAGTCAAACAATCAAAAGCTTGCTATGTTGGGAAACAATAAAATTAATTCTCCACGAAATCCTGCTTTCCAAGATCTAATTCAACTGGTGTGATCCTTGGATAACATTAAAATATGGCCAATCATACAGGGTGAGAGCAGCATCTTTTTTGAAGACGAGAGAAGCTTGGAATCATTAGGGAGGGCCGTGGCCCTCAGAGACTGCAGTAGCCCTCCGTGTCCCCAGGCTCCACACCCACGGGTTTAGCTGAACAAGGCTTTTTTTTTTTTTTTTTAAATATATTTTTATTGATTTCAGAGAGGAAGGGACAGGTAGAGGGAGGTAGAAACATCCATTATGAGAGAGAATCACCAACTGCTGCTTCCTGCACATCCCTTACTGGGGCACGTGCCCTTGGTGAGAATCGAACCCAGGGGAATCCTTCAGTCCACAGGCCAAAGCTCTACCCACTGAGCCAAACCGGCTGGGGCAGAAAATCTTCTTTAAAAAAATGTTACGTTGTTGCTGCCGTGGACCCTGCAGTTAGGCCCATGATGCCTACGACGGCTGTAATGGCTGCGATGGCAGGGTCTGTACCGACGTGTACAGACTTTCTTCCTGTCATTATTCCCTAAACAATACAACATCACAACTACTTACATTGTGTGCGGCACCCTAAGTAAGCTAGAGATTTTAAAGTATGCAAGAGGGTGTGCATAGGTCCTACGCAAATACCACGCCACCTGTACAGTGAGCCCCCGTGGGTGTGGGTGTCCGCCTGGGTGCCGAGCCCCTCCTGGGGTCCCGAATGACACCGCGGACACCGCCGGGGAGTGGGAGGGCCTGTGAAACCGCTGGTCAGAACAGGAGCTGGCTGCTCGTGATTTCCTTTCCGCCAAAAAATAAATTTAAAAAGCCTTACTAACCTCTCCTTCCACCTCTGGAGATGAGATTGGAGAAGGGCCCTCGTGTCCAGAATTTAATACCTTTTATTCCCAGGCACCTCAGAGCCGTACCCTGTTGGATAATAACCAAGGAGAAAGCCCAGGAGGTGCCCTGGGCCCTGCCACGCTGGCCCACCCTGAGCTTCTCTGAAACACTGTTTTTGACGTGTTCCAGGCACTAGCACAAAACACAGACCTTAAAGAACGCTTGCGCAGAATCCATGCCGAGTCCCTGCTCCTCCAGCCCCCTGCTGCTGACAGCCTGGCAGAGGTGGGTAAGGTCCGTCTGGTAAGGCCTGGGAGCCTCTGTGACCCCACAGGGCCCTGGCTCCCTCCTCCTTCAGGCTCCCTCCTCCCTGCAGAGGGCTGCTCACCCCACGGCTCCCACACCCCACCGCCCACCGCCGGGCCCAGGTCCCCGGACCCCAAGGCTTTCCTGAGTCTGCTGTTAACTGCATTTAACACTGCTCCCCCTGACCCCCAGGACTCTCCCTCCCTTTGTGCTTCTCTCCCCGTTCTTCTCCTGAGCGTCCTGTCTCCCGGGGCGGTACTGCCCAGAGACAAGTTCTCTCCGCCTTCTGGAGAAACCTCAGCCCCCCAGTTCCCGGCTTCTTCTGTGAGACCCACTCCTCCTTCCCCCGTTTCCTTCTCCTTCTCCTGCGATGCTTCTCTTCCTCCTTCTAAAAGCACAGCCTTACCCTCTGCGGGAAGAAATACTCTTACAACGACATTAAAGATGTCTTTTCTCAAGACTTGGGGTGTTTATCTAAAATACTCTCCGAAGGTGTGCCATGAGACATTTCGGAAAAATACAAGGGAATTGCTTGAGAAGTAGAAAAGGGTGGTCAGGGTTACAGCTGTTTTTAGTCATCTCTTGCGGTAATGTGCCTTTCTCAGATGTGCTGAGTTTTTTATTAACAAATTTATTAGGCTGAGGGCATTTAAAATAAAAAATAAGAAGATAATATAAAAGGTGTGTGTGTGCGTTTGTGTGTGAGAATTTGAAAGGAGATGAGAGGCTGGAATGAGTCAGCGCACAGCTGCCAGGCCCAGAGGCTCTGCGGTGATGGTTCTGGATGGGCAGAATGACTGCCTCAGGCATAAACACGGTTTTACATGTAAAATAAATAGCCGTGATTGAAGAGGCTCAAAAACCAATGGGAAAGAGATGGATTATTCAATCAGTTAGGTTGGCACAGCTCAAAAGCAATCTAGAAAGCAGTTTACATCTCCTATTGCACACTAAAGTGAATCACTAGAGAATTAGAGTTAAATAGAAAAATTCAACCTGAAAAACATTGATTTAAATATTTTATCAAGCCCTGGATGTTGGTTGGGCATAGTCTCGGGCACAAGGGTTATGGGCTTGATCCCTCATGGCAGGGGTGGGGGGGTGGGGGGGAGTATGCAGGAAGCAGCCGATTGTTGTGTCGCCCTCACATCAATGTTTCTCTCCCCTCCATTGCTCTCTCTCTAAAAATCGATTTTAAAAACCTTTAAAAATATATTAGTAAGTACCTAGAGTAGGGAGGACTTCCTAAATGTGGGAATTATAGGAAAAGTTACAAAATAAATGTTGACTGGATTTGGCTTTTTTTTCTTAGGGGGAAAATGTGTGTGTGAAAAGAGAACGCACAGTCCTAGCTGGCTTGGCTCAATGGTAGAGTGTTGGCCTGTGGACTGTAAGGTCCCAGGTTTGATTCCGGTCAAGGGCACATGCCTGGGTTTCTGGCTGGATCCCAAGTAGGGGTGTGCAGGAGGCAGCCAATCAGTGATTCTCTCTCATCATTGATATTTCTCTCTCTCTCTCTTCCTCTCTGAAATCAATAAAATATATTTAAAGAAAAAAATGCATATAATAGACTAGGAAAAATGTTTTCAGAGAAAATGACAGACTTAAGTAATGCTAAATAGATGATAATGTATTTAATACTTAAATAATTAATAAATAATAGCAAGCAACATAAGACCTCAACAAATAAATGGGGGGAGAGGGGAGACACAGTTTACCCCAAGCACAGATAATTTTTGAAAAACTTTTGCTTAGTAATATTTGTAAATTCACAGGAAAGTATGAAGAAATGCAGAGGGCGGGCCTCCTCCAGTGTTAGCATCTCTATAGCCAGTTTCTTTTCAAAAAGGACAAAATGTTCAACCTAATTCTTAACTAAGAAATGCTAATTAAAACGACATTCGCACAGTGTGTGTGGAGAAAGCAGAGGAGCTCTTGCTTGCTGGTGCAATGAGGTGACATATGTTTTACCTTTAACATTTTTAATAATTCCAGTTCTGAGAACTGAGTCTAAGGAGTAATGAGATACAGTCAAAGACACATTTGCTAGCATGTTCACCACCTTTACAAATTTGGAAACACGTTTAATGTCTAGTAAAGGAAATGGTTCCCTGTGACACACAATTAAAATAAAACATGTATCAGCTAAAGGTCATTGTGCCAGAGAACGTGTACCAGCCCCGGGAAGAGCGCACAATGTGATGTCACGTGACTTGAGCAGATTAGAGAAGGCGATGGACAGTGGGGTTCCAATGTTTCACGCACAAAAGAAATTACACCCAGTCACTGAGCCGAAGCCGGTTTGGCTCAATGGATAGAGCGTCGGCTTGGGGACTGAAAGGTCCCGGGTTCGATTCTGGTCAAGGGCATGTACCTTGGTTGCGGGCACATCCCCAGTAGTGGGTGTGCAAGAGGCAGCTGATCCATGGCTCTCTCTCATCGATGTTTCTAACTCTCTATCTCTCTCCCTTCCTCTCTGGACAAAATCAATAAAATATATTAAAAAAAAAATTACAACCAAATATCTTAATACAAAAAAATACATCACCAGCTTAATAGGAGCCACATCTGGGGAATGAGACTTTATTTATTTATTTTTATAGTATATTTTGTTGATTTTTTTTTTTTACAGAGAGGAAGGGAGAGGCATAGAGAGTTAGAAACATCGATCAGCTGCCTCTTGCACACCGATACTGGGGATGTACCCGCAACCAAGGTACATGCCCTTGACCGGAATCAAACGCGGGATCCTTCCATCGGCAGACCGACGCTCTATCCACTGAGCCAAACTGGTCAGGGCGTGGGAAATGAGACTTTAAATGATGTTTGTTTACTTTTTGTATTTTCTGTTTTGAACCTGTTAAGTTTTATCTTCAGAACAGATGTTCATGCTGAAAATAATTATAGCACAGTGTTGTTTGGGGGAAGTTTGTAAAATTAAATGGATAGAGATTGCAATTATTTCACAGCAAAGCTATACAGGTCGCTTCAGGGTGATGGGATTATGGGCTCCCTCTCTTTTCTCTGTTCATCGTTTGTAACTGAAAAACTAGGCAAACCTGAGGGGACATCATCTCATTGAACTGACCGGATTTACATGCTAATAAACGGAGCCCCGTGCGGTGCAGACGCTGTGCCGGGTGCAGCCCTTGAGCTCCCGTGGATGTGGATCGCCTGCAGCTGGGGCGCAGCACAGCAGAGGGGCTGGGCTGGGGTGTCCTCTGACGCTTCGGTCCAGGAGGAGGGAGGAGAGCATGTGGCCGGTAATAAGTGATGGAGGGAGCAGCTGAATAAATCATTAGGGTCTGATGTGGCAGCACACCCCGAGGGCAGGGCCGCGCAGTGAGCACTGCAGAACTCCCGCTCACCACGCTGACTCCCTGTCCCTGGAGGCGGGGGTGGAGGGGGACGCCGGGGGGGGGGGGGTGCTTATTTGCAGATCCCACGGTGGCCTGTGTTAGGGGAGAGAAGCCTGCTCTCAGAAGGCTTTGCAGACATTGAAGTGGGGAGGGTCTCAGAGCGAATGCCTCGTGCCAGCTGTCTTAGTTAGGGAGGATCCGAGACAAAGGGGTCGCATTTTACACGTGTCCCCGGGGGAGGCACCTCATCCAGAGGCCTGGCCTGTGTCAGCGATGAGAGTCTGCCGTTGAGCACCCCGGCCTGGGCACCATTTGGGTGTGAGACGGAGCAGTGTGTTTTGAACTCGCAGAACCCCTGGGGGAGACATAACCTGCCAGCCTCTGTACCCCCAGGGCTCTCTCACCAGACACATACGGCACAGAGGCAGCTGGTGTGTCAGCCCGGTGAGGGATGGGGGCTCCGGGAAGGTCAGGGCATCCATCTCCTCTGGGCGGGAGGAACCGCAGCCTCTGCTCCCGAGTCCGTTCTCATCCCTCCAGGCCTGTCCCTGTCCCCTCTTCTGTGAAGGCCTCCGCAGACCGGAGCTGCTTCGGGACCGCCTCACCCTCCTCTCCGCCTCTCAGTCCTGGTCTCAGAAGGCGGGGTGTGTGCTCTGCACCCTCCTGCAGGCCAGCCGCCTGCTCTCACCCCGCACTGTGTCCCTCCAGGGCCAGCACACAGCAGTGGCTCAGTTTGTTGAGACACATTGGATTTTTCACTTACAACTTGCATGGATTCAGGTCCTTCCCGGTGGGAAAGTATAGACCGGTGGCTCCCAACCTTCTCTGGCCACGCCCCACATGAGCATCTCTAAAATCCCGACATCTCCCCCCGATGCCATATAATTCATTATTATTCAGAAAGTGAACTCCTATTCATGCGGAGGAAGCTTAGAAGGCCATGAACTTGGTCTAAACAAACTTCCAAAGAACATGGCATCCATGAAAGAGAAAAATAAAAGAGCAGAAGGACAGTTGAAGTACTGAGGAAGAAACCACTAAGCATTTGTTTTTAAAAAATGAAATATGGAAAAATAGCAAATAAAGTTTTAGGACATACAATAGAGAACTGAAATGCATAAATATGTCATTGTCTATATATATCTATATACTCTATATGAGGCCCCTAGAACCATAAGAAATGCAAAAAAATTCACTGTTAATAACTCATTCTCTAATTGCCCCCCTTAAAAATCAAACTGCCCTCCCTTTTGCGGGGGGGGGGGGGGGGGAGGGTGTTATGCCCTGTGATGGGTAAAACCAGGCTTCTGGCCTCAGTGAGTGGGAACCAGGGAGGAAGGGACGGAGAGTCGGGCCAGAGGTGAGCATCGCGGTGGGTGTGCTGCTGTGTTATCTGCGTAGCAGCCTCTACAGGGGCTTGGGGACTGCCTACCCGCGCGGAGCCATAGTGTTGGAGAGACAAAGGGGATTTATTTCATCATCTACCCATGAATGAGGAATGACCTGCCACCGGGGGCACTCTGGACCTACACGCACTGTTTATTTGTCAAAGGACAGCTCGCCAGCAGCACACTGGCCTCCGGGAGCCCGTGGGGCAGAAGGAAGCGAGGCTGTTGGCCACGCAAGGACACACGTGTCCTGTGTGAGCAGCATCCTGCCGCGGAGGAGAATAAGGGGATAGGATTCAGAGTGTCGGAGCGTTTCCCTCTCAAATGCCACAAAGACTGGCCTGGGCAGTCTCTCTCTCTGGCCTTGAGATGTGCTCATGTGCCGGAGCAGTGAGGTGCCTGTAGGTGAGGCGCCCGTTCGGAGGAGACCTGCGTTTCTCGTTTTATTCCGTGTGCGGCTCCTTTCCCCTTCGCTGCGGAGCTGACCTCTGCTTTGAGCTGCCTGCGTGCATGGGCCTGTGACCTTGCGTATCACGCCCCCACACCAGCTGTGTGTCCTGCTGCTCTTGAGACTGTTTCTAAGTATGTCTGTGTCCTTGTGTTTGTGTTTTCAATAGGAGAACTCCACCGACGACAACCGGCCCCTGGTCCATCAGCTCTCGAACGAGAGCCGGCTCTCCATCACCGACTCCCTGTCGGAGTTCTTCGACGCCCAGGAGGTCCTGCTGTCGCCCAGCTCTTCTGAGAACGAGGTGTGACCTGGTGCTCAGCTACGTGCCTGCTGCAGAGTCCCCTCTGCTCTGTGCCACTCGGGGCATCTCACATATCGATATTTCTACCTCCAGGGTCAGAAATTAGCATCATGGATATGTTTTAATCATTGAATTCAGCCTGTACTGATTTACAACATACAATTATTATGTCATTATAATGTTGTAATATGGTCATTATAGTACTTTACCATATATAACAATATTTTTTAATTTTTTAATTTTTTTAACAAGATTATTTTAAATTGATGCATAAAATTCATACTCTCCTGAGGAGGCAAGTGTCATAATTGGCCTTGCTATGTATAGTGTGTGTATTGATAATTTTATCCTTTAGAAGTACCCCTCTTGCTTATTAATTTCTCTCGAAGATTATTTTTTTCACAAATAGTTCAGAGACAAATTGTAACTCATTCTACCCAAAACACTAACACATTCTGAAAATGCAGCCTGAGTTAATAAGAATTTTAATAACAACCAAAATCTTGAGTTTACCCGTGTTTTCCTTGTGAGAACTTAAGTGCGAGGATTTTAATAACCGCTGTTTGCCGCAAAGGCCCCTAGGCAGGCCGGTGAGCGGCCCCAGTAAAAGCAGCGTCCGGAGTTACTCCTCTGGTTTCCCAGTGGGACGGGATGTGTTTCCTGGCTGTTTGCTCTCCCTCTAAGCACCTCATTTCTTCTCTCCCGCAGGGCTCCGAGGACGACTCCTATGCCAGTGACATCAGTGATAACCTGTCCGTGGACAATCTCAGCAATGACCTGGACAATGAGAGACAGACCTTGGGTAAGACTGACGTGATCTGACCTCTGAAAGTCTGGATCCTCGTGGAATGCTAGTAAACATACAGAGAGCCTGCTGCAGGCAGAGAACTGGGACAGAACTCTGTAAGAAAATTCATGCGGTCCCCTCTCCAGGTTTCACAGCCAAGTGGGAGGACAGGACTCACTCACTCACAGAGAAAGACGTTTGCATTCACATCACTTTGCCTACTTGTGTAAATTTCTGTTTTCTAAAGTGAGGGGGTACCAGTTATACAAATACCAAAGATTAGTGCAACCAATATCCCTTATTGGTCAAAAGTTCTCTCTGCAAACATGTTAGAATATAACTCTTTGCCTTTAGGAATCTAGTGGTTTTCATAGTTGAGGAATTCTACGGGCTCATGTAATAAAAGGTCTGAATGGTAATGTAGCCTCAGGTTCTTTACAATAACACCTTTCTAAGTAGCACACTGAGGCCTCCTACAAGTGGGGGCTCTGAAGGTTTTCTGAGATGGTCACCTATTACTGGTTGATCCCAGGAGTGGGATTGATGCCCAGGAAATGTCTGAACCATGGGACACCGAATGTCTTGGCTCCTCCCAAACAGCTCTGATCTAGCAGTTCCGTGAGCAGATGGAGGTCGGTTAAGCGAGGTGCCCGTGGGAGGAATCTGCCCAGTGGACAGTTCTCCGCCTGGGTCCTCTGCCCATTGGGCAGTTCTCCGCCTGGGTCCTCTGCCCATTGGGCAGTTTTCCGCCTGGGTCCTCTGCCCAGTGGACAGTTCTCCGCCTGGGTCCTCTGCCCATTGGGCAGTTCTCCGCCTGGGTCCTCTGCCCATTGGGCAGTTCTCTGCCTGGGTCCTCTGCCCATTGGGCAGTTTTCCGCCTGGGTCCTCTGCCCAGTGGACAGTTCTCCGCCTGGGTCCTCTGCCCATTGGGCAGTTCTCCGCCTGGGTCCTCTGCCCATTGGACAGTTCTCCGCCTGGGTCCTCTGCCCATTGGGCAGTTCTCCGCCTGGGCCCTCTGCCCATTGGGCAGTTCTCCGCCTGGGCCCTCTGCCCATTGGTCAGTTCTCCGCCTGGGTCCTCTGCCCATTGGGCAGTTCTCCGCCTGGGTCCTCTGCCCATTGGACAGTTCTCCGCCTGGGTCCTCTGCCCATTGGACAGTTCTCCGCCTGGGTCCTCTGCCCATTGGGCAGTTCTCCGCCTGGGACCTGTAGCATCCAAAACTCCCGGTACTCGTGTGCCTTGTGCTGGCTACCCAAAGCACCACCTGTTTTCTTTTCTTTTTTTATTTTATATTTTATTGACTTTTTACAGAGAGGAAGAGAGAGGGACAGAGAGTTAGAAACATCGATGAGAGAGAAACATCGATCAGCTGCCTCTTGCACACCCCCTACCGGGGATATGCCCGCAACCAAGGTACATGCCCTTGACCGGAATCGAACCTGGGACCCTTCAGTCCGCAGGCCGACGCTATATCCACTGAGCCAGACCAGTTTCGGCACCACCTGTTTTCTTATCTACGTGGAGGACAGGGACCGGTCAAATCCTTTTTGGTATTTCCGTGCTCCCAGCTCAGTCAGTGTATGTGAAATATGATGACGTTGTTATCTGAATGCCAATGAGCCTGCTCTTTGGGAAGCGCAGAAAGGCAGGCGTTTTACCAAACTGGGGGAGAGCGTCCTTTCAGCATCACACCTGCAGGAAGTCAGGTGCTCATTAGGCTCTGTCTTCGTTTCAGAGAAAAAGGGAGAAAGGGAGAGAAACATCCAGCTCACCCCTTGCTCATAACGTTGGTGTGAGGCAGAGTTCCTGTGTAAACAGGCACGGTTGGGATGGGAGAAGAATTTCAGGGCACAAAGCAGTGGAAGCTGTCACAAAGGGAAAGATTGGTAGGCGCAAATACCTAACACGAAATTGTTTCATTCATCAGTAAACCACTGATGTGGACAGTGGTTGCACATCAGCCCGTGAACCTGGGGGTCACAGTTCAATTCCCGGTAGAGGGTGCGCAGGAGGCAGCTGATCAATGATTTCCTCTCCCCGATGTTTCTCTCTATCCCTCTCCCTTCCTCTCTAAAAAATAAATAAAAATATATTTAAAAACAAAACAAAAAAAAACACACACACCACTGAACCAAATTTAAAGTAAAGGTCAAGTGGGGATTAAGTTATAAAAACGAAGGATTATCTCTTACCATATAAATAGGAAAGCAGATAATTCAGAAAGGAAGAAAGCATTCTTGAAAGCATTCCAAGCCACACTAGGAATTTTATGAATGCAAATAACACAGGGGGAGAGGGCAGACAGTTTGTCAGAAATTAACATCGAATGATGACTAGCCCGAGAGAGCCCCCAGAGGAGGGCACTCACCCTGCGGCTCACAGACGGCAGCCGGTGCTGAGCCCTGCGCACATATGAACCCAAAGTCTAAAAATGGCTGCAGCTTATGGCATAGTAAGCCCAGTTCTCTGTTTCCCATGAAAAGTATCAGAGGTGGTCAAATATCTGGGAATATGAATGTTCACAACTTGTTTGCATTTTAGCAACACATGGAAATCAACCCAAATCCCACAGGAGAAGAGTGACTCAGTCCATTGAGGCATAGCCATCGAATGGACCTTTTTACAGTCTTTATATAAGTGATGTGCTATTATAGAATAACTCTGAATAGCATGCAGATATAACATGCTAACCGAGTAAGCAGGACAGGAACCTAGGCATACAATACAGTGTGAGGTGTATGGGTGAGAATGCACTGAATAAAAATACTCCAAAATATAGATGGCTCCTGTATCTGGGTAGCGGGATCATATTTTTTTTCATACTTATCCTGGAATAAACACAGCTGCTTTTGTCAGAATTTAAAGTGATTTTTAAGAGTTTAAAAGCTTTTATAGAATTTGAAGTGCTCTTTAAGAAGAGGTCAAAGAGTAAAAGTGTAAACAGGAGCCTGCTCTGAACACAGATCCCAGTTTTGGTACAAGTGCACAGAGAGCTACGAAGAACTGGCTTTCGCTTGGGGATTTGGCGACCTGCCTGTGAATGAAGTCCGTGAATGTTAGTGCATGTGATTTTTGGTACTTAAGTTAGTCGAGCAACATTTCCATCGTATGACTTTCAGTCCTATTCTGAATAACTGAGATTAATAGTAAAATTGAGTACTTTTTAGGTAAGTTTTAATTCATGGGTCTTTTAAAAAATAGAATAAAGTGAAAAGACTTGTAGAGGAAATGATGAACAACGTAGTCTGATGAACAAGAACAGACCCAGAGACAAGGAGCCATGGGTCAGATTATTGGGCCTCAGAGGGAAGGTGGGGGAGGGTGGGGATACAAGGGAGAGATCAACCAAAGGACTTGTGTGCACACATACGAGCCTAACCAGTGGTCAAAGACAAATAGGGGGTGGGGGCATGAGTGGGGAGGGGTGGGAGACAGGAATGGGGTGATGAGGACAAATATATGATACCTTAATCAATAAAGAAATTAAAAAAAAAAAAAGGCTTGTAGAGACAACCAGACATATTTCCTCGCAGGGTCGGCTCCGGAGAGCGGCGGGGTAGCCACGTGCAGGAGGAGGACGTGCCTGCCGGCGCCCTGCCCCAGCAGCAGCAGCGTGAGCCTGTGGAACATCCTGAGGAACAACATCGGCAAGGACCTGTCCAAGGTGGCCATGCCCGTGGAGCTCAACGAGCCACTCAACACGCTGCAGCGGCTCTGCGAGGAGCTGGAGTACAGCGAGCTGCTGGACAAGGCCGCGCGCATGCCCAGCGCCCAGGAGAGGATGGTGAGGCTCGCCCCGCGCCCGGCCGCCGGCCCCCTGGGGCCCCTGGGACCCCGGCATCGTTCCTGTGACAGGCTCGCTTCTCAGAGACCTCGGCTCCCCTGTGCCCGCTGGGCTCAGCCACACGGTCAGGACTTGCCATATGGAGGGTAGGTGGGGGGCTGGGGAGGGCTTCCTGGTGACAGCTGGCGCCCGCCCGGGGGCAGTTCTGCTCTGTGGCTCTGCGGCTTCCTCTTTCTCCAGAACTTTCCATCTGATTGTTCTGCTAAGCCTGGCTGGAAAGCCTGCCCTGAGGGCTGTCTGGGCATTTATCTTTACTATCCCAGGCGGCCAGAATTTAATCTCTCAAGCTGTTTTTCTCGGCAAGGGTAAATTTCCCTTGAGAATGATTTTGTTTATTTTTGGAATAGTATTTCCACAGCTGTTTCCTAGTTGTTGTTGTTTTCAGAAAATAACACTCGGGAGAGATTTTCACCTAAGAAAGGCTCTTTTTGTGTTTCCTTCCTCCCCCCCCCCCCCCCCCCCCTTACTCTAAAGAATTGTTACTGGGTGCTCTCTGAGGCTCATCCTAGAAAGAGTCACCTTTGTTCTCTACTGCTCAGTGTCCACTGGTGGGGCTCCGGGTGTTTCTCCTCGCTCCCCATTTGGGGGGACTCCATGGGGGTAAGACTGTGGGCGGCTCCATGGGGGTAAGACTGTGGCTGACTTCTTTCTCCAAGGAGCGTCTCTTCCTTTTGCTTCCTCGCATGTTACCATGTTACCGGCTCAGCAGGGAGTGGCTGTGTGGAGGCTGGGCCTCCTGTGGCTTCAGGTCATACAGCCACCTTCCAGCCCCAGGAGCTGAATTCCTCCCTAAATGCTAAGCACTCCTCATTCCCATCCTAGTTAAAAGGTCTTTGCCTAGAGGTTTGGGGACTAAAGGGAACGCTAACTAGTGGGTGAAAGGGGCATCCCGGAGGCATTCCACAGCCTCCGGGGGCTGCTCCCACCCAGGAGGCTTTCTTGTTGCCATAGGTGAGAGTAGGAGAGGAAAGCAGGCGCAGTGTCTTTTCAATCTCTGTTCCTCTCCCCCAGAGAATTGCTGCTGAACAAAGGGAAGCAAAAAGCTTCTAAGGCAAGTGTCAAAAGCCAGCTCTTTTCTTTGATGGAAAAGCTTGGCTCTGAAGAGGACAGCATTCTTCCAGGCGCTTCATTCTTGCCACAATTAAGAAACCCTTGGGCTGTTCAGCTGACCGATGGTTGTAACTGACCTGGAGAAGAAGTTTGAGCAAAGGATCTACATTTGGGCACCAAGTGCAGGAGGAGAAACCCAGGAAAGCTGGGAGCTGGGTGGTGCTCACTGCTCTGTGGGGTCAGCCTGGGCCCTGCATACAGCTCTGCTGTTCCAGCCAAAAAGGAGGGTGCTTGCCCCGGCCTGCTCCCTCCTCCCGGCTCCCTCAGCGTTAGGAGTGGTTCCAGTTTCATGCGTGCACTTTGGTCTGGTTTGAATTGGGAAGGCAACTCGGGGCTGGCTCAGCGTGCAGAATAGAGACCATGACCTTGCTGTTTGACAGGTAGCGGGCATTGAGGAAGCAGAGAGAGGAACACTTACCCAGGTTTCAAGAACAAAGGCTGAGTGGAAATAGTGATCTGTGCTTATAAACCACCAGCAGCTCTAGGGTGCCCTCTGTGGGAGGGGGGGTGGGAGGGGGGAAGGGGGCCCTGCCTGGGAGTGGCTGAGAGAGGTGAGTGGCTGAGAGAGGGGAGTGGCTGAGAGAGGTGAGTGGCTGAGGGAGGTGAGTGGCTGAGAGAGGTGAGTGGCTGAGGGAGGTGAGTGGCTGAGAGGAGTGGCTGAGAGAGGTGAGTGGCTGAGGGAGGTGAGTGGCTGAGAGAGGTGAGTGGCTGAGAGAGGTGAGTGGCTGAGGGAGGTGAGTGGCTGAGGGAGGTGAGTGGCTGAGGGAGGTGAGTGGCTGAGGTGAGTGGCTGAGAGAGGTGAGTGGCTGAGAGAGGTGAGTGGCTGAGGGAGGTGAGTGGCTGAGGGAGGTGAGTGGCTGAGGTGAGTGGCTGAGAGAGGTGAGTGGCTGAGAGAGGTGAGTGGCTGAGGGAGGTGAGTGGCTGAGGGAGGTGAGTGGCTGAGGGAGGTGAGTGGCTGAGAGAGGTGAGTGGCTGAGGGAGGTGAGTGGCTGAGGGAGGTGAGTGGCTGAGAGATGTGAGTGGCTGAGGGAGGTGAGTGGCTGAGGGAGGTGAGTGGCTGAGGGAGGTGAGTGGCTGAGAGGAGGTGTGCGTCCAGGAACCCTGACGAGGGAAGCAGCTTCCTGACAGGTGCTGGGCAGCAGGAACGTGGAGATGGCTGCTCAACGTTGGAAAGGAGAAGCTCCTTTTGCTGCTTAGGTTTAATTTTTTTTGCTGCCCTCATTCCCTCCACCCCCTCCCCGAAAGACAAAAAGCAGAGTGGGATCCTGGAAGGGGGACGGGTAGACACGTGGAGGGCCTCACCGTGGGTGAGGCCATAGGGGGCCTGGTTTCCTCTGGCCATCGTAGCTCTCCTTCCTTTCCTGGGTGTGTTTCCCGTCCGTCCTCCCCCTGGGGCAGGACTCCCGCAGAGGCAGGCCCTGCGCCCGCCCTGGGCCTGCTGCTCGGGCTCAGGAAGCGGCTCGCACAGACGTGTTTTTGTCAAAACCGCCTTTTGCTATTTCTACAGCATCCGATTGGGACTGGTTACATCAATTCCTGAAATCGGAGGGAAGTTTGGCTTTTGATGCTTTTCTTCCTCCTCCTCCTCCTCCTCCTCCTCCTCCCCAAAAGCCTCGCAGGACATCAGGATGCTCGGGAGTGGTCAGGTCCGGAGGTGCAGGACCAGCCCCTCCGCTCACACCCAGGGCGGCTCTGCGGTCCGCAGGGCGTGTGGCAGCCTCTGCCTCCGGGAGGCATCCTCACACGTGGGCGGTGTGAACGTGTCTGCTGCGTTTGTCTCTGAGGCCACAGCCAACGTCGCTGAAACCGGCAGCTTTAAGCCAAGGCTGGGCCCGGCCAGGGGGAGCAGGTCCCGGGCCCGCAGGTCACGTTTGGTTCCCGGTCAGGACATCACGGCGGGGGTGCAGGAGGAAGGCGACCAGTGGATGCTTCTCTCCCACGTTAATGTCTGTCTGTCTGTGTGTGTGTCTCCCTCCCTCTCTCTCTAAGCCTCCCTCCCTAGAAAAAGGGGGGAACGAATCAATTAAAAATAAACAAATGAAACTAAAATAAATAAGAAATTAAACCACAGGCGGCCTGGTGGTCTTTTAAGCCAGAGGTAGGCGTTTGGCTTTCTGAGGTAAGCCTCCAGAGAGGAAGGGAGCCTCTACCTCGCTTTTCACATCGCTGTGAAAACGAACGTCATGGTCACGGGACAGTAACGGCCTCTCCTCCCCGCAGGTGTACGTGGCCGCCTTCGCCGTGTCGGCCTACGCGTCCAGCTTCTACCGCGCCGGCAGCAAGCCCTTCAACCCGGTGCTGGGCGAGACGTACGAGTGCATCCGCGAGGACAAGGGCTTCCGCTTCTTCTCCGAGCAGGTGGCTGCCCCCGGGTGCTGTGTGCGCCGTCCTGTCCTGTCCTGTCTGCGTCCCGCCTTCCACCGGCTTCCCAGCCGCTGGGGGACAGGCCGGGACCGGGAGAGAGGGGGACCGCGCTCCCCTCCCGGACGCCGAGCCGCCCAGCTCTCTCCGCCGCCACGGGAATCCCCGGGGCCCCGCTCCGTCCCAGGTCCCGGGGAGAGGACGCTGCTGAGGAAGGAGCGTTTGCCCAGCTGCCGTTTAGGTTCAAAGGGCGCCCTCGGCTCGTTGGCACCATCGCTCTGGCCCCCATCGGGAGGGGTAGCACCAAACAGACGCATTGTTCTTGATTTTAAGGATAATCACTCATTCACGTATGTATCCACTGGGCCCATTAACATGTGTCGAGCCTACACCACGTGCCTGGCATTGCCCCGGGGCTGGGAGAGCGCCCGGCGGGGCTGCGGATGCCTGTGGTCGCCAGGATGGGCCCATGGCACCCCCGTGAGCCGCGGTCCCCGAGCTGCCACACGGCCCGCCCCTCTCACCACTAGCAGAGGACGCTATGCAAGGACAGCGTGTATCATAAATCAATGAGTGATATACAAGACACCTCAATGAGCCAATGAAGAGTTATTTATTGCACTCGGTGTCTCTTCCAAATCTCTGAGCACCACACACAGGAAGTCTCCCGTGTTTATATTTTTCCAGCCTCTTTGCTTGCAGGCATTGCAAAGAGCTCTGTGGGAGTTATTGCTACAGACAGTTGTAACCTTAAATACATAATGAATCAGTACTTGGCATAAGGATATGGAAATTATCAGTATTATTCTGTATTAGTCTATTACATTAGATGTCTAGCGTACAAGGTCAGACAGTTAGGTTTGTCTTTTTCTATTATTTGAACTAAAAACAAAGTCCTTTTATACAATAAGAGACCGTCTTAAAGGGACAGAGTTCACAGGACTAGGGACTGTCTAACAAGAGCAGAGAGTTCACACAGCAGTTTTTTTGTTTTGTTTTGTTTTAAATATATTTTATTGATTTTTTACAGAGAAAGGGAGAGAGATAGAGAGCTAGAAACGTCCATGAGAGAGAAACATTGACCAGCTGCCTCTTGCACACCCCCTACCGGGGATGTGCCCACAACCAAGGTACATGCCCTTGACCGGAATCGAACCCAGGACCTTTCAGTCTGCAGACCGACGCTCTACCACTGAGCCAAACCGGTTTCGGCCACACAGCAGTTTTGTACAAGACGGAGGTTACTCTGCTTCACGTTCAGCTCCGCCTCTCACTAGGGCTGTGACCCGGTCAGCTGCCTCCCCTGGCTGCAGTGTGGCTTGGGGTGACGGTCAGCACAGACCTCAGGTGGCTTGGCAAGGGCTGACGAGAGACTCTCCACAGAGCTCTGAGGCCTGAAGTGAAAAGTGTGGTCTGACTGTGTGCTCTCCACGCATGCTGGACGGCATGGTTTGCGTTATGTAATACTGACGGCCTCCAGATACATCAGCAGGGACCTGTGTAGCTAAAACAGGGCGCAAAGGTAATGAAAATAAAGATAAAGACAGTTCTCCCCCACCCCCACCCCCACCCCAGTTAAAGCAGCAGCCAAACATGCCTGCCCACCCTCCGTGTATCCCTACGTGTCACCTGGGAACATAAACATGATTGCTTTGCTGCATTTCTCTCCTCCCAGTTCTTAGAAAGCTGAGGGAAGAGGGGGAATGGGTTGCTAAAATATTATTTCCCTTCCCGACAACATGCTGCCCTCTTTACCGAAGGAGGTGCGCTTTGGGGCAGGAAGGGAAGGGGGGTGGCTGTCAGCCTTATGCACTCGGTGCTGGTCTTCACTGCACACGGCAGGCAGCGTTCTCAAGGGGAAACGGATGCACGATAATCCCAAAGCGCGTTTCCAGTAGCTCTCCGGTTAGAGGCTAAAGTGAGAAATTAAGCCGGGTGTCAGGGAGGGAGGGGGTTAATCAGTAGTTAAAGGGATATGATAATCCGATTCAAATTCAAGTGGGTTGTTTCAGTACCGAACCTAAAACGGTATGAGAATAGATGAAAATGCAGTTTGGTTACCATGGCATTCAACGCACTCGTGTGGAGAAATAAAGGCCCCAAACAGGCCCGAACCCCAGCCAACATCAGGACGGGACGAGCAGGTGTAGGAAACAATAGTAACGTGAGCCCTGGCGGGCAGGGCCGAGCTCAGCACCTGCTCCGGTTTCCGCTGCGGTGGGGGTGGGCGGGGGCCGCAGAGGTGGAAAGAGCATTGCGTGGTCTTCAGTTCTGTGAACCGATCCCCGGGAAGCCAGCGCGTGGGAGAGATCTGGTCCTTGGGAGCAGCGAAGAGGGATCTGGTCCTTGGGAGCAGCGTAGAGGGATCTGGTTCTTGGGAGCAGCGTAGAGGGATCTGGTTCTTGGGAGCAGCGAAGAGGGATCTGGTCCTTGGGAGCAGCGTAGAGGGATCTGGTTCTTGGGAGCAGCGAAGAGGGATCTGGTTCTTGGGAGCAGCGAAGAGGGATCTGGTCCTTGGGAGCAGCGTAGAGGGATCTGGTCCCTGTGAGCAGCGGAGGGTGTGCTGGGTAGAAAGTAGACCTGCTTCCAGATCCCGACTCCCCCACAGCGTCGGTGCGTGGCCTTGTATAAGCGACGTGCGTTTTCTGAGCCTCGGTTGCCTCCTGATACAATAAGAGTAGCGGTGCTTAGCTCCTGGGTGTGCAAGGCTCAGGTGAAATGATACCCTGATGTACAGAGGAAACGTCCTGCCTGTGGTTACGGCTCTTATATTCAGAGGCAGCTTTAAGAGTTTCTCTTAATATACGGCATTGAGCCGAAACCGGTTTGGCTCAATGGATAGAGCGTCGGCTTGGGGACTGAAGGGTCCCGGGTTCGATTCCGGTCAAGGGCATGTACCTTGGTTGTGGGCATATCTCCAGTAGGGGGTGTGCAGGAGGCAGCTGATCAATGACTCTCTCATTGATGTTTCTAACTCTCTATCCCTCTCTCTTCCTCTCTGTAAAAGAATCAATAAAATATAAAAAGAGACCTGCTTTCACGGCATTGAGAACAGGGAGAGGAATGTTGAAACGGGACGTGCTGTGCTGACTCAGGTGGTTTGAAGGGGGCGCGATGTCGCTGGCGAGCCTCGGGCAGAGAGCCAGGCAGGAGGCGGCAGGAGTGCCCACAGCTGGCTTCCTGGGGCAGGGCCACCGTCTGGTCCCGTCTGGTCCGGGGGCCGCTGCCCGTGCCGGGAGCCGAGCCTGTGGCCTCGGCGGTTGGTCGGTTTATTACACCCACGAATGCACGGGCCCCCAGGGACAGGCCCACGAGCTGAGGTGACAGGAGATGATGCGTGAACTGGATGCTGCTCTGCACTGACGGGCAGGCAGACCTGCCCTGGGGACCAGGAGGCGTGGTACGCGTGCCCAGGCCAACGGTCCCCGGGCCGAGCACTCGGGGAGCCAACATTGCAATCAGGAGGTGAGCGCCGGGAGCAGGAGAGGCGGCTGTTGAACCCGCTGGGCCGGGCTGCCCACAGGCCCGGGGTGGGGAAGATTTGGGCCAGGCCCCTCCCTTTCCTGCCAGCGGGAGACACCTCAGCTCAGTCTCCCCCTTTCCCCCATCTGCCCGTGGTGACACTGACCCGATGCAGAGACCTGCTTTCACGTCTAAAGAGGCCGGGACAGTCCCAGGCGGTCCCCGCCAGCATGGCCTCCTGCCTCCTCCCAGGAGATGTGCCCCTCCACGGGGCCAGCCACACGCCACCTCGTCCATGACGTGGAGGCGACACAAACACTGAGCTTTCAGAGCGGGGCTCCTTGCTTCCTTGTACCCCTACATTGAGCAGAGGTCACCGAAGGACGAATAGCATGAACTGGGAAGGGACCCCCAAGTTGACATTTGGGTGAGACTTTACTCTAACGAGGACGTCGATGGACGTCAGATCTCCCAGTGAAAGGACTAAAGGAACGGGGTGGCTCGGCTTCCCGGCTGTGTTTCGTAGACATCGGAGAGAGGTGTCTGTCCCTTCCCGCCATGCCTGGGCTGCTGCTGTGTGGTTTGGAGGGAACATGGGTGTTGGAAGCGGTCAGTGGTCCGGAGGGTGCAGTGAGGGCTTCCTCCCAGCATCCAGCCACATGCAGCTCTGTTTCTCTCCCAGAATGGCGTGTGAGGATGGCTCCGCGGTCAGACACCAGAGGAAACATGCTGTTCAGGGTTTCCGCATGACAGCGAAGGTGTGCAGGTGCTTTGTGACCAGATTCTTATTGATCTTCCAAATCCTGTGCACAGGCGAGGCGGGGATTGATCGGGTACAGGCGCAGACACCGAGCCGAGGGCAGCAGCCCCTCGGCCACTGCCCTGTTTCCCCACCCTCCACCCCCGGCCCTTCTCCCTCACACTCCTGGGGTCTCTGTGTAGTTTAGGTGCTGTGCTCAGAGCGGCTGGACTTGGGCTGCCGATGGAAAATGGCCTTTTATTCTGTTCAGACTGTGGGCCTTGGTCTGCCATTGTCACTGGGCCTCCATCCTCCAGACTCACCCAGACGCTGTCTGGGCGCCCACTGTGGCTGCACCTGGAGTCAGCTATAGACACTCCTGTCATATGGTCCACCCTCTCGGGGAAGGAGTTTGCTTTGTGCCAAGAAATCTGATTCAGCTGCGGCTTTCTAAATAAGAACCTGCGGAGCAGGGGAAGGGGGCGAGAGAATGAGGGTGCCGGGACTCTGCAGAAAGGACTTCCTTTCTCCTCCCAGTCTCCCCTGGGTGAGTCACCCTCACTGGCTCCCCCTGCTGCCAGGCACAGAGCTCTGCAGTGTGGGCTTCATCGGCCCCTGGGAAACTCCCTTCAGTTGGCCTGGCTTCTCGCTGTACCTTTGGGAAAGGTTTGGTTTCTAAATTTAGGACGCACAGTTCAGCTATTTCCTGAGAGTGGCTTTTCCTGACTGGCTGTTGCAGGCATTTTAACCTTTTACCCAGCCATCCACACTCTCTCCGCAGAAAAGCCAAGTGGAGTTATTGAAAGTTACTCCAATGGACGAGTCACCCTGGCCGGTGGGGCGTGACTCCTGTGGAAGGTCTCAGGCTCAGGTCCCAGTCAAGGGCACATACCTGGGTTGTAGGTTTGATCCCCATAAGTTGCCCTACGAGGTCGGAGGCCAGTCAGGAACGAGGAGGACTGTCTAGGTAGGTCTTGGAACAGCCGCAGAATTGATATATTTAAGGGATATTTTTATAAATCCAAAAAAAGAAAAACTTAAAAAATACACAAATATTTAAATGCATTCTTTTCCCATCTGCTTCCCTCTTCTTGGTACATTCAAAGCATAAATAAAAATGATTAGGTCAGGGTGAAGAAAGACCTCTGACATATAAATAAATTATAGGAATTATTTATTTTTTATTGTTTAGCACATGTGTCAAACACAAGGCCCGCGGGCCAAATCCGTCCCGCCAGGCCTTGCAATGTGGCCCGCACCGCGCTGTCATCACTGCACTCCGCTGCGTTTCCATCACAATGACAGTTTATGACTGTTCAGTAAACCATTTGGCCCGCGATTTAGGCTGGATTTTAGATTTTGGCCCCTTCTCTGATTGAGTTCGACACCCCTAGTTTAAAGTATTATAATAATAGTACATATGTCTCCTTTTTTCTCCCATTTACCTCCCCTGGCTTCTTCTACCCCCTTACCCCCTGGCATATGCCCTCACCCCCCTAGTGCCTGTGTCCATTGGCTACACTTATTATTTATTTTTTAAATATATTTTATTGATTTTTTACAGAGAGGAAGGGAGAGAGATAGAGAGCTGGAAACGTCGATGAGAGAGAAACATTGACCAGCTGCCTCTTGCACACCCCCTACCGGGGATATGCCCACAACCAATGTACATGCTCTTGACCAAAATCGAACCTGGGACCTTTCAGTCCACAGACCGACGCTCTACCACTGAGCCAAACCAGTTTCGGCCAATTGGCTACATTTATACACCAGAGGCCTGGTGCATGGAATTTGTGCACTGAGGGAAGGGTGTCCCTCAGCCCAGCCTGCACCCTCTCCAATCTGGGACCCCTCAGGGGATGTCCAACTTCCGATTTTGGACGTCCCTCTCACAATCCAGGACTGCTGGCTTCTAACCACTCATCTGCCTGGCTGCCTGATTGCCCCTAACCACTCTGCCTGCCAGCCAGGTAGCCCTCTAACCGCTCCCCTGCAGGCCTGATTGACACCTAACTGCTCCCCTGCCGGCCCAATCACCCCCAACTGCCCTCACCCCCAACTGCTCTCCCCTGCCGGCCATCTTGTGATGATGTGAGGGCAGCCATCTTGTGGCAATGTGGGGGCAGCCATCTTGTGATATGAGGGCACGAGGGTCAACTTGCATATTGCCTCTTTATTATATAGGATATGCATTTTAGGAGGTAGGTTTCTGGAAGGGCTGGAAGTGGAAATTGCCCTTGCGAATCCCATAGGCAGAGGAGGGGCTGTGCTCTAAGGAGGCCCGTGGGAACTAGAACCATCCCGGGGCAGCAAAGATGCATCATCTCGTCTTGGATCTGAGATCTGTGCTCTTGAGAGCTGAGAGATGCCACAGCTGCTTCTCTTTGGGCCGCGTTGGCAGGTGAATCTTCCCGTTAAATGTGTGTGTGTGTGTGTGTGTGTGTGTGTGTGTGTGTGTGTGTGTGTGTGACAGGACTCCAGATGAAGCTGCTCCTGCCGCTCTCTGCCTATAGGGGTGGCACCCGGAAGTGGTTTTCAGACCACGTTCCTGAGGGTCCGGAGATGTGGATTTGAGCCTTTGTCAGCCCCCATCTCCATCCCCTCCCCGAAAACCATGCTGCAAACAAAAGACGCTGTGTTTTACCTTTGCTTCTTCCCTATCGGGGTGTTTGGGGAACCTTACTTAGTCTTTCTGGTCCCTCTCCTTGTTTGTAATGAGAAGCCTCTAGCTGGATGCTCTTCAGGGGTCCTCAAACTTTTTAAAGTGGGGGCCAGATCACGGTCCCTCAGAGAGCTGGAGGGCCGGACTATATGAACTACTAATTCCTACTGTAACACCTCGGCTGCACTCACTGCCCAAAAAACCTGGCGGGCCGGATCAGACTCCTCTGCGGGCCGCATGTGGCCCGCGGGCCGTAGTTTGAAGACGCCTGCTACGTGTAGATGTTTGGCTAAGAGCCAGCTGACAGAAGTTTCTGGAAACACCACTGGCCAGGTTACCCTGGTCTTACTAATCCTGAATTATGATAAAAGTGCCTCGAGTGACGGAGGACTCGGTTCCTCTTTAGCGCCCTCATCAGTGAATCGACAGAAGTAACGACTCCAGTGTCAGAGGCAGGGAGTCGGCCACGTCTCTGCCAGGGGGCTCTCTTTTCTAGAATGTGATTGCCTTCTTACGCAAACTGAGTATTTCTATGATGACAGAAAATGAATAAAAATTTTTTTCATAGCAGTTGACTAATATTGCTTCAATAATGGTTCGTTTAGCTCTTTGTAGACACAGAATTCTTTTTTTTTTTTTTTTTAATGATCTTGAATTCGTCTTCCTGTAGGTAATTTGCAAAGAGACTGGACATGTGATGCAATTTTCAAAAGAGTGAAATCTGCTGAGGCATTGGGAGTTTTTGTGTTGCTTAGAAGTAGGGTTTAAGAATATTTGTGATTTGACAATCTAATTAAATGCGGGTGCTTTCAGGAAGGCTGATGGGGATTTTGACATGGGCAGCCGATGTCAGATTAGCGGGTTTGTGAGCGGGCAGCCCTGGCATGCCCCTGTTTTTATTTTCTTGTCTTTCTGAAAGAAAGGTGTCTCTGTCCTCATCGCTCACTTCGCCACTTGTCTCCGAGGCTCCCATTCACCCCTGACAAACTGGAGCAAACTGGAATTGGCCGCCTTAGAAGCGCCCTCTGAAGGGCAGGCTTGTTAAAAGCAAATCAAGGAAGCATTCATGCACTTTGACCCCTGTGTGCTGTTACATCTCAGTGCAAGGGCGAAGGAGGGACTTCACGAGACTCAGACATTAATAACGGTTTTGTTTCTGGCCTTTGTTTCCGACAGGTCAGCCACCACCCGCCCATCTCTGCGTGTCACGCTGAGTCTGAAAATTTTGTTTTCTGGCAAGGTAATGTGCCTGCTAACCTTTTCAACTCCATCGTGTTTTGTGATGTTATAGATTTTTTACTTTATTAAGGACCGGCTGTTAAATGCTCGTTAAGATTAAAAGTGGGCCCTGGACTCGGAATCGCTGGGCTGGCCTTGCACCGTGTCACCTGCTCCTCCTCTCTCTTGCTCTGGTTCCTTTCTCCACGCTGCTGCCGGTTGTCTTTGCAGAGTCTGAATCTAATCACACCTGTTCTCTGTCCAAACAAACACTTATTTTCCACTGAGGCGCACAAACCAGGCTTCTTAGCCAGGCTGGGCGTTCGTACCCATCTGTCTTCCCACTCTTCTCTCTAACCGGGCATGTCCTTGTTCCGTCTCGCCACAAAACACACTCAGGTAGAGCCGGTGAGCTCTCCCAAGGGAGGGACTTCATCCTCTCATTAGCTTCCCTAGTGTTCAATTTTTACTTATTCTATATGTATAAAAGGCTAATATGCTGAGTGTCTGACCATCCGACCAGTCGCTATGACATGCACTGACCACCAGGGGGCATTCGCCCAACGCAGGAGCTGCCGAGCTGCAGTGACTTGGCAGTGGCAGTTCTCAGGTGATGTACCCTGAAACTAGAGATGAGGGTCCCAGTTCCTCATGGGGCCGTGCTGGGGCACTGTTGGCCCTGAATGTAGTTTACCACACACTTGAATTTGTGCTCCACACCCAGTACAAGAGCAACTTTTCAGAGTGCCCTCTGGCATTCCAGGAGCCCTCTGGGGTTGTCGGAGTGCTGGTTTCAGCCTGACCCTTGCAGGCCAGGTCGAAGGACCCCACCTGCCCGAGGGATCCCACTCACTCTGCAGACACCCTTCAAGCCACAGCACCACCCCCATTGTGGCTGGCCAGGGAGGGACCCTGGGAAGTTGGCTCCAGGGCATGTCCAGCCCGTCTCACCCAGTCCTGCCCTGCCTGCCACCTTCTAATTAATTTCCTTTCCATGTGCACAAATCTGTGCACTGGGCCACTATAGAGAATAAAAGTTATCCTGTGCCCAGCCAGTAGGGCTCAGTGGTTGAGCATTGACCAATGAACCAGGAGGTCACAGATCAATTCCCAGTTGAGATACATGTATGAGTTTCAGGATTGATCCCCAGTGAGGGAGTAAGAGGGTGCAGGAGGCAGCTGATCAATGATGCTCTCTCATCATTGATATTTCTATCTTTCTCTCTCTCTCTCTTCCTCTCCCTTTCCTGAAATCAATAAAAAGTGTATATATTTTAAAGTTATCCCGTATGATAAGGGGGGTTTTATTATGGAGAGATTGTTCGATGTTGTGATTGATCGTTTATGCAGCCGAAGAACTCTTTTGTCGACCTAGCTCTCCCGGTAAATGTATAATGCCCGGTATTATTTCCTTTCAGATGTGAGATGGAAAAACAAGTTCTGGGGCAAATCCATGGAAATCGTTCCCATTGGCACAACCCACGTGACTCTGCCGGCGTAAGTGCCTCTGTGGGTGGGAGCCTCGGAGAATTTAGGGCCAAGATGGTAGGCTGCAGAGCAAGCTGCCCACAGTCTCCACGGCGCTGGTGTCTGGTTTGGTTTTTTAATCTGTTTGGCAGATTAATGCGAGCGTTCCTTATTGTGACGACCTCACATTTTATTTCCCTCAAATGAAAATGCTTCTTAGAGGCCAAAATGACCAGAAAAGACACTTTTAAAAAACTCATTTATGCTTTCCAACAAAACTAAGAATGATGGTTCTCGTTAACGTGTTGTCCTGCCTCGTGGTCTGAATTCCTTTTCAGAAAGGTGTGGCCGTGACCTTTCAGGGACGGTTGATACTTTTCATAAAACCAAACGTGGCCCCTGGAGCCAGGCGGCCAGTACCCTGGAGCTTGCTCCGTGGCAGATCCCGGAGGTTACCTAACCTCCCCTCTCCAGTGCTGCCACCTGTGAGCCGGGGACAGTACACCGCCCACTTCAGAGGACTGTTGTGAAAATAAACACGTTAACTAGTACTTGGCACATGGTGTGTGCCATGTAAGTGTTTGGTCTTACATCATTATTATGTACCTGTTGAACTGGAATCTGAATACTCCCTCATTGTAAAAGATTTAAGATATATGTATCTTAAGGTTTACACATATGCTATATGTGGGTATAAACATAGGTGCGTATTATGCACACACACGTGTGTCCCTGTATGCACATATACATGTGTGTGCACACGTATGTGTGGAGAGCGAGCAGATTGTGAAAACCGCCATTCTTCCCCATGACCACTTCCCTTCCCTCCCACCTTTCCCTCCCCTAGTTTCGGGGACCACTTTGAGTGGAACAAAGTCACCTCCTGCATCCACAACATCCTGAGCGGGCAGCGGTGGATCGAGCACTACGGGGAGATCGTCATCAAGAACCTGAATGACGACTCCTGCCACTGCAAAGTGAACTTCATCAAGGTGGGCGCGGCCCGGGGCTCTGCTCCCCCCGAAGGCCTAAGAGCTGGGCCTCGGGGCCCTGGGGAACCTTTGGCCCTCAGTCTGTGCCAGCAGACAGACAGTGCTGGCCGCTCGCCTGGGCCAGGGCCACAGCTGCTCCGGCCTCCGCCGTCCTCCCCTCTGGTCCGCCCTCAGGGCAGCAGCCAGCGGGCTCGTCTGAAATGTGTCAGCCCGGTCAGCACGGCTCAGTGGCTGAGCGTCCACCTATGAATCAAGAGGTCACAGTTGGGGCCCCCGTGTGGGGCATGGAGGAAGCCGCTGATCAAGGATTCTCTCCATTATTATTTTTTAATTTTTAAAAAATATATTTTTTATTGATTTTTTTACAGAGAGGCAGGGAGAGCGAGAAACATCCAGTTCACAAACACGTGTGTATACACACACACGCACACACGCACACAGACCTCTCTCCTCTCCAACCTCAGCTCCTACCAGCCCCTCGTCCCCATCCTTCCTCTCTGTCCTCTGACCGCCTGGCCTTTCCCTTCACTCTCTCCCCCCAGATCCTTCCGTCACCTGCCCTGTCAGTGACTCTATCACGTCCCATTTTCTTTCTTTCTTTTTTTAAAAAAAATATATTTTATTGATTTTATACAGAGAGGAAGGGAGAGAGATAGAGAGTTAGAAACATTGATGAGAGAGAGTCATCGATCAGCCGCCTCTTGCACACCCCTACTGGGGATATGCCCGCAACCAAGGTACATGCCCTTGACCGGAATCGAACCCGGGACCCTTCAGTCCCCAAGCCGACGCTCTATCCACTGAGCCAAACCGGTCCCGGCTACGTCCCATTTTCTTATTGCTGTCTGGAGTGAGCCGCCCCGTGGATTTACGCGTTTACTTTCTGCTCCCCACACCTCCCTCGCCATTCCGGGCTCCAGAAAAGCAGACGCCCGCTCGCTCTCACTTCTCACTCTCCCTCGGGCGCAGCTGCCGCCTGGAAACGGGGCCCCGCCCCAGCAGACTCAGCGCAGGCTGAGTGAGCAGCTGGCCTGAGTGACCACCTGCCCGTCAGCGTGGCCCTCCACCAGCCTTAACCGGAGCCTCCTCCCCACTTCCTCCTCAGATCCCCTCTTGCTGTTGCAAATCTCAATACTTAACATGGCCTTGGAGTGTTACCCCCTCAAAGAAATGTTTGCCCTGAATTCAGATCCAAGTTCTAAGCAGAGTTATTAGATTCTAATTGTGGGACTTCCTGGGGAACCTCTCTATAGCTGGTGGGGGACATGATTAAGAGATGGACTTGGATCTTTCTTTTTTTTAAAAATATAATATATATTTTATTGATTTTAGAGAGGAAGGGAGAGGGAGAGAGAGAGAGATAGAAACATCAATGATGAGAGAGAATCATTGATCGGCTGCCTCCTGCACACTCCACGCTGGTGTTCGAGCCCGTAACCCCGGCAGGTACCTTTGGCTGGAATCGAACCTGGGACCCTTCAGTTCTCAGGCTGACGCTCTGTCCACTGAGCCAAACCAGCTAGGGCTGGACTGGGATCTTTCTTACACCCGTAAGTCAAACTGGGTTGTAGTCAGACGTAAGCCTGGTAGAGACGCACGTAAAGTAAACATGGCCCTGCCTGAAAGCTTCATTAAGCTCCCCGCAAAGCAGAAGCAAGAGGCCGTCTGGGCGGGAATCTGCGTGCCCTGCTCCTGTGAACCCCCTTGGCCCACATTTCCCCCAAGGAACCCTGCTGCCCACGGTGCACCTGCCCATGAGGGACAGCGAGTAGGTGTGTGTGTCCATGAGAGGTGAGAAGAGTCTGCCCTCTTCCCTGCAATGGACTGTGGGCAGACATCCGCACGAAAGAAGTCGGAGTGCTGCTTCGGAGTAAGCTCGGAGCCCGGGCAGTGTTTATAGCTTCCTCCTCGGTTTTGCAGGACGCGGGGACTGGGGTACGAATCTGATTCAGGTGGAGGTGCCGCTACACTACACACCGCCCTGCCTTCCTTGTTTACCAGCCTGGGAATGTGGCCTGAAAATGCCACTCAACCTCATAGGCTTCCAAGTATAGACACACTGTTTTGGCTAAAAACAGCAATTGGATTTTCGACGTATGGAGTAATGCCTTTCCCCCCCCTCAGAGATTTTGTAGGGCAGTCAGGTAATTGAAAGGTTTGGAGAAAGTCGACTCTAGGGAGTTAGAGCTCCCTCTGCTGGGCGCGGCGTAGTACTGCATAAAACCCTCCCGGCTGAGCTGAGCCCAGCTGGTCTCAGACCTGGACCAACCTCAGTGTGAATGTGCGCTGCCTAAGGTTCCTGTAGTTAGATGAACAGATCTGGATTTGGGGGGGGAAATGATAGAAAATTTATTGGATTACAAAGCAGCCACCTTTATTGGTTTACAAAAGACTGTCTTGTGCCGTTAGAGAAAAAAATTACGTGAATTACATTTCTTTTAAATTGCAGTTGTCAGGCCCTGGCCAGTTGGGCTCAGTCAGTAGAGTGTGTACTGAAGGGTCCTGAGTTTGATTTGGGCAAGGGCACGTACCTCGGTTGCAGGCTCGATCCGTGGCCCTGGGCACAGCACGTGTGGGGGCTTACGGGCTAACCACACTATTTAGCTGATATAGAACTGAGCTTTCCTATTTCTTTGCATGTAGAAAAAGTAGGGAAAAAAATCTCTTACACACACACATGGAATTCCCGAATGTTGGCTGGTTGAGATTGCAAACTCTAAAGGGCTAGCTACTCATATTTATTAAATAACTAAAAGTGTGATTTTAAAAACGAGATAAGAGTCCAAAACTGGCAAACTATATGCAACATAGAACTTCCCTTACAGTTCTTTCTCTTTCCTCTCCCCTCCCCCTCTTCATGTCTGGTACTAAGCTGACCCCAAAATACTAATCAGTCAACTCTCCCCTTTGAATCCCAGGCAAAATACTGGAGCACGAACTCCCGCGAGATCGAAGGGACGGTGTATGACAAGAGCGGGAAGGCGGTGCACCGGCTGTTCGGGAAGTGGCACGAGAGCATCTACTATGGCGGCCCGTCCTCCTCCACCTGCGTCTGGAGAGCCAGTCAGTGTCAGGGGACGGGCCCGGGGGTGTGGGGCGGGGCGGGCGGCTGCCTTGGGTGTCAGCGGCCATGGGGTCTCCAGCTGCTTCTAACTGTGTCTGAGGTATCAGTCCCTCTTTTCTTCTTTTTAAATATATTTTATTTATTTTTTTACAGAGAGGAGTGGAGAGGGATAGAGAGTTAGAAACATCGACAAGAGAGAAACATTGATCAGCTGCCTCCGGCACCCCCCCCCCCCCCACTGGGGATTTGCCCACAACCAAGGTATATATGCCCTTGACCAGAATCGAACCTGGAACACTTCAGTCCGCGGGCCGATGCTCTATCCACTGAACCAAACCGGTTAGGGCTGTCGATCCCTTCTTCCTTCACCGGATCGTGTCTCAGGCTCATTCCCGTGCTCATCAGCAGCACTGCTGTCCACTGGGAGGCCCTGGGTTCTTGTCCCAGAACAAGGCCATCAGCACCAGCCGCTGCGCCTGTGCCCGGCACAGACGGGACATCAGTCGGGGACAAGAAGCCGCTCTTCAGCAGGACAAGGAGGAAAATGTACCGGAAAAGCCGGGTGACCTGGGGGTTCTACGAGAGTTAGGGATCCCCAGACCCATCCAGCACCACAGCCACTCCGGCCACGCCTGCCATCCCACAAGGATGCCGAGCCGGAAGCAGCTGTGGGAGGAGGACAGGGAAGCCAGACCCTCCTCACGGGCTCCCAGAGCTCACACTTAGCTCATCTCCTGAGTGTGTTTCCCAGTCTTGGTCACGTTATAAAACCGTTGTGCTGAGAGACCACCATTAGGATACTTTGGACCAATCAAAACAAAACAAGAAAGCCATTCTAATGGCGGCTTAAAGCATTAGGCTGTGTGCCCATACTTAATAGTAAGTGGAGGGGAGGGGGTGCACCTGGGTTGCTGAGAGGGCGCACAGATCGCTGAGGGCACCTTCTGTGACTCCCAGTATGACCACGATTGTCCCTCGTGGATGTAAATGCATGTTATCCCCCCCGGGCAGCTCGCCGAGCAGGGGGAAGGGAGGACAGGAGCACTCTCTCCGCCGTGCCTCCTTCCGCAGGAAGGAAGGGTTCCCAAGGGCCCCGGGAAATGCCCTTACATTTGTGAGCCTGAAGCGGGTCCAAACCCCCATCCCACAGCGATCCTGGGCAGCTGGGTGGGCAGGAGCGAGGCAGATGGGTAGACGCATCCTCGAGGGAGGACACAGGGCCACCTGACCAGTGTGTGAGCATCTCATAGCGAGGCCGGAAGGGAGATGCTGCAGAAGAGGCACCAGCAGCGTAAGCGTCTCTTTCAGAGCAGCGGCCTCCCTGTCCCCCCACAGGGTAGTCGCCGTGGGAAGGGATTGGCGCCTGGGCCGCGTCCTAGCTGCAGAGGCTCAGGGGCACGTGAGAACCTGCAAAGGAAGCATCGCCTGGAGGGTCCCAGTGTGCACCCCGCGGAGCTCGGCCCCCTCTGGGAGGGAAGTGGAGCCTGGATGGAAGGGCGCTGTGCGAGCCGCTGCTCCTGCTGTCGGTGCTGTTCCCTGGCTGTGGGTCTCTGCCCGGCCGTGGGCAGCCAGCCCCTCCGTCTCCACAGAAAGCACTGTCTTCGCTCCGGTTAACCAGCAGAGGATATCTTAATAGAAATAAAAGAGTTCAGAGCGGAGAGAAATTTCGTCCGGTCTGAGATGAAAACGGTGAAGGAATTAAAAAGTAACATCAGCTGAAAACCGGTTTGGCCCAGTGGATAGAGCGTCGGCCTGCGAACTGAAGGGTCCCAGGTTCTATTCCAGTCAAGGGCATGTACCTTGGTTGCAGGCACATCCCCAGTAGGGGGTGTGCAAGAGGCAGCTGAATGATGTTTCTCTCTATTCCTCTCTGTAAAAAATCAATAATATATATATATATATTTTAAAACATAACATCAATGAAATAAAAAAAGTTAAGGAAATGAAATGAAATGAAATGAAATGAAATGAAATGAAATGAAATGCAATGCAAGTTAGGAATGAATGAACTCTTTTTTTTTGTAGATCCCATGCCCAAAGGCTACGAGCAGTATTATGGCTTCACACAGTTTGCACTGGAATTAAATGAAATTGATTCATCCTTGAAGACTTTATTACCACCCACTGACACTCGATTTAGGCCAGACCAAAGGTAAGGATTTGTTTTTTCCAATCTTTGTCTCCAGAGATGTAAAAGGTTTTATAAAGACTGTTATTAGCATCTCCCGGGGCACAGAGGGCCTGAGGGAGATGATGTCATCAGGAATACGGGCCAGGGGGGGAGCCCCGCTTAGTGCTGTGTGGGCGTGGCTTTCAGTCTTCAGGAGAGCCCATATCTATTGAAGTATCAAAATAGTGTTCATTCTTAAGAGTTTCACTGCACTCAATAAAAATAAAACTTACCGTGTACTGAAAGAATAAAAAGCATCCTCCACCCCTAGAATTTGAATTATTTCGATGCATTGAGGGCCAACGTTTGATTCTTTGTTTGCTGCTAACAAGCTGTGGGCATATAAGCCTTTTAATCTTTCTCAGCCTCAGATTCCTACTTTATAAAATGGAAAGAATTATCTCCCCTCCAAGGCCTTTCTAATTAAGATCCAAAACTCAGAAGAAGGAAAAAAAAGGTAAACATTTGACTTTATTTAAGAAGAAAGGAAAAAATCCAACAACACCTCTCATGACAAAGTGAATAAAGAACATACTCAGAGTGAACAGATAAATGACAAACTGAGGCATCTGCACTTGCAGCTCAGTTCATGAACTGGTTCTAGAAACCAAGATCAACTCATTTAAAAAAAGGACATGAGAACATGAACAGGTCACAAAGCAAGAAATGCAGATGTCCCTCAAACATGGGAGATGCTCCGGCTCACACACAGAGATGGATCCTTAGAGCCCCATGGACATCCCGTTTCCTAACCCGTCGGACGGCAAAGACTCACAGTGCGGTGTGCGCTGAGGATGAGGGGCCGAGGCACACCAGTGACATTGCTGGTGGCGATGTGGGTTGTATGATCCCCATGAAGGGCAGTTGGTTATATGTATATTACAAACTCACCCTTTAACCCAGCAATCTCACTTCGGGAAATTTCTCCTTTCAGGTACACTAACCCTTGCACAAAATGACAGATACTCACAGTCATTCATTGCAGCATTAATGATAAATTACATTTAAAAATTGGAAGCATCCCCAGTGTCTGTCAGCAGGAAATTACTTAAATAAATTCCGGTATGTCCACACAATTGAATATAACACAACTATATAAAAAATGAAAGATGTCTGTGTGCAACCAGGGAAGATCTCCAAGTCATACAGGGTGGAGCAAAAGTAGTTTATAGTTGTTCATATAGAAAATAATAAAATAATAATAATACAATAATGAACTCTGTTTCAGTACTCATAACTGTAAAGCTCCTTTCTCCCCACCCCGTATTGTTAAGTAAAGGTAAAACAAGCCCTGGCCGGTTTTGTTCAGTGGTTAGAGCTCGGCCTGTGGACCGAAGGGTTGAGGGTTCCATTCCAGGTCAAGGGCACGTACCTCGTTTGCAGACTCAACCCCCGGCCCGGATTGATGCATACAAGAGGCAACCAATCAGTGTGTCTCTCTCACATCAATGTTTCATGCTCTCCTCTCCTCTTCCTCCTTCCCATCCACTCTTTCTTTAAAAAAAAAAAAAAAAAAAAAAAAAAAAAAAAAATCAATGAAAAAAATAGCCTCTGGTGAGAATTTTTAAAAAGGTAAAACAAAAGAAGCCACGGCATAGACAGTATTGTAGCGTGCTGCCATTTATATCTTCAGAAGGTGTAGACTCTCTAGGACAGGGGTCTTCAAACTTCTCTCATTATGAGAATCACCTGGTGGAGGTGTTAAAACACAGGTTCCTGATAGCACTTCTTATAGTTGGGATCCGGGAATCTGTGTTTTAACACCTCCACCAGGTGATTCTCATAATGAGAGAAGTTTGAAGACCCCTGCTAGGAGAACGCACTAGGAACTAACAGCACTGGAACTAACAGTTACCTGCGCAGTGGCGTGGGGCGGGCAGGAAACAGGTGACAGGAATTAGAGACGAGGATGAACGGGAGACTTTACTCCGAATCACTTTGCACAGACATGATTGTGGGACATGTGCGTAGGTACATGTCGCCAGTCTAAAGCCACAGCCTTGTTTGAGGGGCCGGGGAAGGGCCTGTGCAGAGGAGAGCGGTTGGGACGTCCGGCGTGGACACCTGCCGTGGCAGCAGTGGCGGGGCTCCGTTTCCGCAGCCTTCAGTCCCGGTCCCCCCCTCCACGCTCGCTCAGGTTCCTGGAGGAAGGCAACGTGGAGGAGGCCGAGGCGCAGAAGCAGCGGATCGAGCAGCTGCAGCGGGACCGACGGCGGGTGCTGGAGGAGAACGGCGTGGAGCACCAGCCGCGGTTCTTCCGGTGAGCGCCGGGCCCGGGCGCGAACAGGGTGTCTCCTCCCCAAATAAGAGGTCCCTGATGTGCTTCCAGCTTCAGAGGGGGACACCTCCCCTCTGCGAGGGCCCGGCCTTCTGTGACTCTGGGCGCTGGCTGTCCCAACCCCTCCCCAGCGTCCTGTCTTCTGGCCGCCTCTGCTGTGTCTCAGGGCGTCCAGCCCAGTGAGTTTGCAAGGAAGCGCTCAGGGAGTGCTCAGGGAGTGCTCAGGAAGCGCTCAGGGAGTGCTCAGGGAGTGCTCAGGGAGTGCTCAGGGAGTGCTTGTGGGGGAAGCAACGAGACCGCCCTCACCTGGTCCCCGAGGCCGGCCAGCTTGTTAGATCCATGTTCGGGCGTGGTCCCCCACCGGGGTGTGTGTTACACACACAGCGAGAGATCACATATATTGTATTGATATTTTTACAGAGAGGAGAGAGGGATAGAGAGTTAGAAACATCGATGAGAGAGAATCATCGATCAGCTGCCTCCTGCACACCTACTGGGGATGTGCCCGCAACCAAGGTACATGCCCTTGACCGGAATCCAACCTGGGACCTTTCAGTCCGCAGGCCGACGCTCTATCCACTGGGCCAAACCGGTTTCGGCTACTCCATTTGTTTTTCATGTTAATTTCCCGCTTGACCTGAGCCCCCTGGGTGGCTCAGTTTTATGCAGTCATGCGCAAGGCGGTGGCCATCTCCTCCCAGAGGCACCGTGTTGGACAGCCTCTGTGCCTGAGAACAAGGTCAGAAACCAGAGGAAGGTTCCAGGCATGCAGGCTCCTCACAGGAAACCTGTATGCATGTGAGGGTGGAAGCGGGGGAGGGCGGGGAGGGCGGGACTGTCCAGAGCCTCCAGACCTCCTCGCCTCCCACAGGAAATCCGCTGAGGACTCCTGGGTGAGCAACGGCACCTACCTGGAGCTGCGGGAGGACCTCGGCTTCTCGCAGCTGGACCACCCTGTGCTGTGGTGAGGGGCGAGAAGCCCGCTGCGTTCCCGTCCTCCCCCCGCGTCGGCCTCCCCGAGCCACAAGCCTGTGTCTGCGTTCTTACGAAGCCTTCCCCGACGATCACTGTGCTTGGCGTAGCGTTGTAAGGATTCAAGTATATATTTTCTTCGGTTAGGGTTCTTTACAATTTCCGATGTTATCATGATTGTTTATACGAATGTAGAACGCCTCGATATTGCTTTTTTTTTTTTTTAAATATATATACATAAAGTATTTAATAAAAATGGAAGATTGAATGTTAATGCGTGGGTTGCAAACGAAGCTTTAACACTAATCTCCCAAAGGTGAGGAGGTTTCAGACTAAATGGATGCCTTATAAAATGAACGTACATTAAGAAAGGAGAAGAATGCCCGGGGTTGCTCACCCACGCGCACACCACCCAGGTTCAGTCTGGCGGCTCAGTCTCTGCCTCGGACCGCTCCCGGCTGCTCACACAGAGGCCCGGGGACCTGCGTCTGCATGGTGGTGGCTGGGAGGGCAGCGGCGCGCGGACCCGTGTGTTTATAGAAGATGCACGCAGCGCCTTCTGGAAGAGGAAGCCTCTGAGCCATCCCTCCCTGTGCTGGGTGGCCTCCCATGCAGACTGGACCGTCACTCAGAGGAACTACCCTTAAGCCGAGCAATCCCCAGGAGGTAAACGTCAGAATGAGATCCCGGCGAGGCAGAGGCAGGAGCTTTCTCCTCCGGGACAGCCGAGTCCTTGACAAGTGTAGACACTGGTTCCTGCTCCCAGCACCCCGGCCTCCAGCCTCGGGCACCCCCCTCTCCCGCCCCGTGTGACCTCATCTCCGCCGAGTGCGGGCTGTCCAGTTCAGTGTAAAACCTCCAGCTCCTTCCCCACCGCAGTGCGACTTTGTCGCTAATAGCTGATTGTCTTCAGACACTGTCTTAGCATTTTCTACCTCTTAACAAGCACCGTATTTTAGCTCTTGTGTAAGAAGTCGGACCGTCTGTCTTAGGGACACACGTAGCGGACGGATGCTCTTCCCGGTGTTGTGCCTGGCGCAGCCCCCGATGTGGTACCCGCCCACACTCCCCACGTGCGCCCCCCTTTGGGAGTTTCTCAGCGACCTGGATACCGCGGATCGTAACTGCCGAAGGGGGGACCTGGTCTTTGTGAATGTGTCCTTTCCGACGACAAGACTAGGATTTGTGCGGTTAGTTCCATTGTGTCACCAAAGCTGTTCCCACTTGGGCCCAGATTACATGAAGACCAAAGCCTAATTTCTAAGCCTTTTATTCTACTGTTCATAACAATTCTGTGGAGTATGAAATAAAATGATGCGGTACAAAAGGGTTTCTCCCGGAAACGTTTTTTTTTTAGATATTTCCATAATAGCTTCGAGCGTGTAGGATGCTATGAATAAGAAGTAGAATAAATGGCAGGAACAGGAACGCGTGAATTTCCGGTGTCACACCGAGTGAGTAAGCTGTTGGACCGTGTTACGTTTTCTAAGTGGAGAGGCATCTGCGAGTGACGAGCATTTTAAAAACAATAAACGACTCACCGAATACCGCACCCTCCCACCCCATGTCACCCACGTCAGCGGAGTGCAGCTCAGTGAGCAGGCCCTCTGTGCCGGGTGCACTTTGTTCTTCTCTTTCCCAGCGTGGAGCCACACTCCTCCCGGCGGAAGGCGGGGGCTGAGGCCTCCAGTCCTCGGCGGGGGGGGACAGATCAGCTGTCACACGCGAAGGTAGATGTGGGCTTGCAGTCACGTGGACTCTGACAGTGGCCTGTCCCAGAAGCTACTCAGAAAAGGGGAAAACAAAGCCTGCCGCCTGAAGAGATGTGGCGTGTTCAGTGTTTGGGACATTCTTCGTCTGGAGGCTGTTATTGTAACCGATGGGATGCTTTATTTTGCAATCACAAGGCTACATAGACTAAATATGACCCTGGTAGTAGTCATCTTACTGGAGATGGGGAGGGGGAGGGATTACAATGTGATGCAGAACTGGGTGCAGATTTCCAAATCTCGCCCGTACTGGCATCGCTGGGGGCTTTCCGGAGTTTGAACAGCGTGGGGCCGCCTCCTGACGCTATCATCTTAGATCTGCCCGGAGGGGGAAATGGCCTCTTTTTAGTCCTTGTTCTCAAAAGCGCTTTCCCATCTGATTTGTAGTTCTGTGGCATTTTATGTTTTTAAGATGGAGAAATCAGAAACATGGTGTGTGGGCAGAACTGAGGAAAACATGGAGTTTTCCGGACTCTGAATCTCCTGGTGAAATACTGCCAAACCCTGCCCCGTGTGACACCCTTGCTGTGGCTTGCGTTTTTTGTTTTTTAATATATTTTATTTTTTTTACAGAGAGGAAGAGAGAGGGATAGTTAGAAACATCAATCAGCTGCCTCCTGCACACCCCCTACTGGGGATGTGCCCGCAACCAAGATACATGCCCTTGACCGGAATCGAACCTGGGACCTTTGAGCTAAACTGGTTTCAGCTGGCTTGCGTTTTATTCCTGGCTTTTTCATCCCAAGTTTACAAAGAATCACACAGATATTCTTGGAAATGGGACTGTGCAGCCCACCACACTGCCCTGCACTGTCCTCCATTCACCCGCTCCCCCGCCCCCCCCCCCCCCCCCCCCCCCCCCCCAAGCTGCAGGAGATCCATCCAGACCCACTGGGAAGGAGCCCACAGGCCCCAGGTGGCCAGGCAGCCCATCATAGGTCAGTATTTCCCCTTCCAGGAGCCAGGCTGGGCCTGGCACTGATTGAACAGGTCACTGGAGGACAGCAGGCCAGCCATCAGTCCCAGAATGCCCTCTTGTGGGACTCCCTGGGAGAGAAAAATATACAAAGCATTTTTTAAAAAGCATTTTCTTCATTTAGGCTGCTGCTTTTCTTAGATCCTGCTTCTAATTACTTCCCGTGAGTCATCTGCTTGGGCTTTGAGCGCTGTCCTCCAGCTGTATTCCCCAGGTTTATGAGAAGCGGTCTTGTCCTCCTATCACCAGCGGCCACCGTGGAAGGGCGCTGGTCAGCGACGTGCTCACGTGGCTGTCACCTTGCTGTAGGTCCGACGTATGTTCTATGAATTGCACAGATGTTCTTGGACATCTGTGCAACTCATGTGTCTTCCGGCTGTCGTAGAACCTCCTCGGACCTTTGTCAGGCAGGAGCAGTAAGAAGTGGTCCTCGTGATCTTAGGGGTAATGGTCCCAGTGCCTTGGCCTAACTTATGTGAATGTCCTTCATTTTGATATGAACATCGGCATACATCTGTTTTTGCTACCAGATGATCTCTGTGCTGGTGCGCTCAGTTTTCCTCCGTGTTGTGTTCACGTTACTCCGGGCTAGTCTTTGTCGTTTGCATTGAAAACATGTGTCACGCGTGTCTGCAAAGGGTGACAGTCTGCAATGCAGTCCGCCTCCGGAGACTGTGGCCGGAGGGAACGCCGTGAACAGGAGCTGCTCACTGATGGTGTTCCGGGTGATTCGTGACCCGCCTGGGGCCCTCCGAGGAGTCTATTTTTGTAATGGATGTTTGTAAACCTTCCATGGAACGATTTATAAGATGATGCTGTGTTTAAATCCCACCCCTCGAATCCTTCTAGACTGACCTCCCCAAACACACAGACTCCCTTGCCCCCCCCCTCCTGCGGCCAGTTGGCTGAATAAGCCCGTGGGAGAGTCCGCCTCGTCTTCGTTTTCCCAGGCTGGTGTGCACGGGGCTGCCGGAGGGGACAGGCAGGTCTCCAGGCTCAGCTCTTGTGAAAGCAGCACACCAGGTTCCCGCAGGGCAGGGGCTGGAAACAGGGACGTCCTGGGGGTAAAGACACCTGGAAACTTCTGGTCCCTGCGGTGGGTGCTTCTCCTTTTTCCGCATCCCGCACGGAAAGGTTCCTGAGTGGAGGAGCGGGGGATTAAGAAATTAAAGAAAGAGACCAAGAGGCAGAAATAGATTCAAGAGCTGGGTGCCCGGTGGAGGCTGTCACTCTGGTGGAGGGGCAGTCAACACCCACCACAGACAGCACAGCACGTTATGGATTTCCAGAGGGGGTTTTAGGTCAAAGGAGTCTTGGGGGTGCCCAGGTCCTATTCATTCCCCCAGTCCTGGGATTTAGCATATCAAGACCTGGGCAAGTCAAGGTCCTATTCGATCCTCATTCCAAGCACATGGATAAAGATAAGAAATCGTTACCCCGTGATGGTCTCTGACATTTTGGGAGGCTGTTTCTGAGGGACGGCCGTGCCAGTCACCTCGGGCTCAGCTGACATTAATTTAAAGGCCATCCATGTGCATTCCCAAGGGGCCCTCTACAGGTCCCAGCATGTCCAAGGTGCACTGCACATGGGGGTCCACACCCCTAGTGCTGGGAGCCCCCAAGGAGCCTCTAAACTTCGCCCCGGGGTGTTATGGGAATGGCATTTTGTTCTGTCTGCCCTGACATGAAAAAGGAAAACGCTGACTCCTCATGCCAATGTAATGCCCTCCCAATGGCTGAGTCACCCTTCCCCTGCCTCAGCTTGTCTCCTGCAATGCCAGGAGCACAGCCGTCACGTCACTCAAGTGCCGTTGGATCCAGGGATCCGGTTGTGGTGGTAACACAGCCCTCAGGAGAGTGGTCACACACACAGCCCATCTACACATCCCTAAAGCTCCTAGGAGGCAGCCAAAGGCCATTCATGAAATTGGATTGGCTTCAAAGAAAAGGGGAAAAAACACAAGTCATGAAAGAAGGGTTGAGGACAATTAGTGAATTTGCATATAAACATAATGGAATTATTGCTAATTTTCACACACTGTGATATTGCCTGTTGATCGGAATTAAATCTGCCACCAAAGGAGGACCATTTCCCAGCATTATTCAAAACAATGTGTTATGAACACTAACGGAGACCTTAAAAGGCAACCTCAGCCTATGTTAACATGTTGGCCACCTTAGGACTAGGAATTAAAGTATCGTAAGGTGTCACTTGAGGACGCAATAAGTTTGGAGGTACAAGTTGCAGACCATCAGTCATACGATGAAATACCAGCGTTCACATAGTTGATGTCCTTCAGTGACCAGCAAATCAGGACAACACTGTGCTTGTGGACACAGCTAAGGAGCCTTACTGTTGACGTATAGGTGGAGGTCCCTGAGGAGGTCCCCACACCTGGGGGAGTTTAGGAGACTTACCTGAAGGGACCACCAGCTGGCGCATGAGCATCAGCTGGAGGTGGTTGCCGCCCAGCAGAGCCTGGGGCTCCGAGGAGGGGGAGGGCCGGAGGACACGTGACCTCTGCTGAGCGTCTGGGCATGAGTCAGTAAGAACTACCCCAAGTTCGGCTCCTCGGCCTCGTTCTCGCTGGTGCCCGAACCCCCGTGAGTCCAGGGGTCCCCTGCCTTCCTCCAGTTCTCGGTGCTCAGACCTCAGACGGGGAGGGCCCCGGGAAAGAGCACTGGGACCTGTGCTCACTGGATTCCTCCCTGTCTGCGCGCTCGGAGACGTTTCAGTAAGTAAATGGGCCTAAGAGGCCTTTCATTTAGGTTTGTTGTGTTTTGAGTTGTTCTTTGGAAAGGATAAAATTTGTGAAGTTATTTTTACTTCCACTTATCTTACCAAGGGTGAATTACGAGGAACTGCTTTCAAAAAATTCTCTGGTCCTCCATGTGGGGCTTGTAACATTTTTAATGAACTAAGGGAGCCTCTCTTCTTTATTAAAAGCCGCAAGTTCACCGAAACCGGTTTGGCTCAGTGGATAGAGCATCGGTCTGCGGACCGAAAGGTCCCGGGTTCGATTCCGGTCAGGGGCATGTACCTTGGTTGCAGGCACATCCCAGGTAGGGGGTGTGCAAGAGGCAGCTGGTCGATGTTTCTCTCTCATCGACGTTTCTAGCTCTCTATCTCTCTCCCTTCCTCTCTGTAAAAAAATAAATAAAATATATTAAAAAAAAAAAAAAAGCCGCAAGTTAAACAGACAGGAGACTAGGAAAGATGTGTCAGCTTCCTGTCTGGCTAGAAGCCTGGGGTAGCGCGCACTCCTAGATACACGCAGCTCACCTGGGTGGTTCCGCTCACACACACAGCCCCGCGTAGCCTGTTGACCGGCATGTTCTCACTGCTGAGCTGGGACACCCTCTTCTAATTTCATGACTTTTCTAGAACTTAAAAAATGACCTGTTGGCAGCAATTGTGCAGGGTTTTTTGTTTTGTTTTGTTTTTTAATAAAATCTTGTATTTGCCATCGCACTCTCCTTGAGATGTAGAGACAGAGGCCTTGTCGCCCCCCTCCCCTGACACCTCATGAGTGCTCAGTGGATAGAGCGTCGGCCTGCCGACGGAAGGGTCCCGGGTTCGACCCCAGTCAAGAGCACTTTGCCCTGCCGATGGGAACTCTTTGGCTGTGTGGCAGAATTACACTGCACGCTGAGAATACGCCGTCAGCCCGGAG